TTTTGGTTAACTATACATGACTCTTACAGACATAGTATTTGGTTAACTACACACAACTTTTTACAGATATAGTATTTGGTTAACTACACATGACTCTTATAGATATAGTATTTGGTAAACTACACCTCATGTCTCTTACAGATATAGTATTTGGTTAACTTCACATGACTCAGACAAAAATAGTATTTAGTCAACTACACATGACTCTTACAGATACAGTATTTGGTTAACTAAACATGATCCAGACAAATAAAGTATTTGGTTAACTAAACATGACTCTTATAGATATAGTATTTGGTTAACTACACATGACTCTTACATTTATAGTATTTGGTTAACTACACATGACTTACATTTATAGTATTTGGTTAACTACACATGACTCTGACAAATATAGTATTTGGTTAATTACACATGACTCTAACATATATAGTATTTGGATAGCTACACATGACTCTTACAGATATAGTATTTAGTTAACGTCACATGACTGACAAATATAGTACTTGGTTAACTAAACATGACTCTTACATATATAGTACATGTAGATGGTTTCCTCATACCAGCATTTATTATAAACCAGTATTTATCATATACATTTTCTGTCACATTTCATTTCATTTCATATAAATTGTGTATCTTTAAACATTGTATCTTTATGTGATGTGCTTTTTATATGTTTTTTATAACAAAAAGGTTTTATAGTTGATGTTAAATAATGCAATAATTGTATACTTATAAACACTTACATATATTAAAATTAATAGTTGCTAAGATTATTGATATTAGTTTTGAATTATGTTTTACTTTTACATGAGTGAATCTCTGTGCATTTTCTGATGAATGTCATAACTCACAACTCCATTCTTTACCTCAAATACTTACAAAAAACTGATTATTACTTTTATTAATTTTAATTATTTTTTTTTAATTATTTTATAAAAAGGGTGTTTAATGACTTAATAAATACTTGAAATCCTTCAAATTCAGCATTTCAGCAAAATGACTGGTTATCAAAGTTTACCCTATAACTTTCCTGTACTCATTTTTTTTGTATACTTGTATATACATTTTGTAAAGTAAAGTAAAACATAAAATGCATATATCACCTTTTGTGTTTATTAATCAACATCTTTAACTGTTTATTAAAGATGGTATTGTTCTTCAGGGTATTAATGTATGCAACTTACTTTTGTGACCATGATTTAAAATTTCTTAATTTTATGCCAATGTCATGAACAGTTTATTCGTAGATGAGGATGTATTACAACTTATCTTGGTTATCACTGTATCTGGGATATCATTTCACGAGACAAGCAAATGCTGACTAAAATAGTGGTCTTGTGTTGACTTCAAATAGTGTTTTAAATCATACTTTTTTGCTGTTATTTAATATGATAAATTTATATTGAAACACTTTTATTAAATCATGAAAACACCATTCAGATACAAAGGGACTAAATCTTTCACCATTTGGATTATATTTCTATTATGTACTAAAGACAAAGTATACCATGTCACAATGATCAACCAGACTACATGTGATCATATAACACGGCAATAATCAACAGTCCCTTATCCCATGATATTATGTCCCAGACAGTATTCATTAATGAGCAAGAGTTCCAAATAATGTTATAAAATCTGATGTTGAAATACAATATTGGTACTCTGAATAATAAAGTACTTTCTTTTGTTACACTTTGGTAATTTGAACATTCTTGTACCATGCTTTTTGTCTTTGGTCATATTATGTCTCACAATTGCTGTGAATCTTAAACAACATTAGTAATGATAATATAAAACTGAGCCGCGTCAGGACAAAACCAACGTAATGCATTTGCAACCAGAATGGATCCAGACCAGCCTGCGCATCCACGCATTCTGATCAGGATCCATGCTGTTCACTTACCAACTCTATTACAAGTAGAGAAACTGATAGCGAACAGCATGGATCCTGATCAGACTGCGTGGATGCGCAGGCTGGTCTGGATCCATGCTGTTTGCAAACGCACTATGTTGGTTTTGTTGTGACGCAGCTCAAGTGTGTTTTGTCTAAAAATACAATAAATAAAACATCATTGAATATAATATTGTATGAACAAAATTTAAAGATGAATTTTTAGTGCCATTAAGTTTTAAACATAGAAATAAAAAGAACAAAATTGTAAATGACTTTGTTAGATAATTTTTAAATGTGTCGTCATGCCACAGATGCCCCCGCATGCAGCCAAAATTTCAGATGTTATATTATTTAGTGCACAAAGTATTTTTTTCATTTTAAGTTCAAAGCCCTTGAAACTATTCAATGTAAACAGAAACCATTTTCATACAAAGTTCAAGGGACTGAAACTATTCAGTGTTAACCTTTTGTAAATTGCATATTGCTTATTTGTAGCCAAATTAATGACTACATACATTTCCACAAAAATATTACTGCTAACTGAAATTCAAAATTTTTCTAACATTCAAGAGAGATAACTTTGTCCAAAATACTTGAACTACAACCAAATTCAAACTTGAACTGCTTATTCCTTACCCAAGATATATCTTTATGTCAAATTTGAGTTGAATGTGTACAACCATTGGGGTGATAATTAACGGAAACTAAAAATTTCTGATTTTTTTCAAAGTTCAAGAGGGATAACTGTGTCAGCTATCAATCAAACCATAACCAAATTTGGACTTGACCAGTGTATTCTTATGACATATCCATAAATAGTAAATTTGAGTTGAATATGTACAACCTTTGGGGAGATAATGAACAGAAACTGAAAATTTCTGTTTTTTTTTTCAAAGTTAAAGGGGCATAACTCTGCATAAAAAATCACTGAACCATGACCAAATTCGCACTAGACCTGTGCATTCCTTTGAGGTATCTATATGTCAAATTTGAATTGAATGTGTAATTCTGTTGGGGGATAATGAATGGAAACTGAAAATTTTATATTATTTTCAAAGTGAAAGGGGCATAACTCTGCCAAAAATCTTCGAACCATGACCAAATTTGACCTTGACCTGCCTACTCCTTTGACATATCCATATGTCAAAATTGAGTTGAATGTGTAATACCGTTGGGGAGATAATGAATGGAAACTGAAAATTTCATGTTATTCTCAAAGCGAAAGGGGCATTACTCTGCCTAAAATCATCGAACCATGACCAAATTCAAACTTGACCTACGCATTCTTTTGACGTATGTATGTGTCAAATTTGAGTTGAATGTGTCATACTGTTGGAAAGATAATGAATGGAAACTGAAAATTTCATCAAGGGGCATAACTCTGCCAAAAATAATCGGACCATGACCAAATTTGAACTTGACCAGTATTTTCTCATGATATATCCATCTGTCAAATTTGAGTTGAATGTGTGCAACAGTTACTAAGATAATTAACGGAAACTGATATTGACAGAATGACAGAAGGACAGAAGAGGGTAACACTACATGCCCCAGCCATTTTATGGCGGGGGCATAATTATAGTAGTACATGTATCATTCCTTCTAAACCAGCGACCATACTCACTGGCAACCTTTCGTGATATCAAGCTTTTACCATTTCATAAAATGGGATCTCAGTCATTCAAAGACTATTCTTATTAAATTAGTTACTTTAATTTATATCTAAAAAGAATTTTGTTTATATTCGAAATAAAACACTTTAACTTCATTAAGCTGTATTCTATTGCTGAAAGGCCTTACTAAATAAATGTTGATATCTAAACAATTTTTTTGCAGATGTCAAATAATTAAAGGATTTAAAAATTTGGCTCAAATCCAATTTAACACAAATTGTAATTGCATCCACTTATAAGATACATGTACAATATGAAGCTGTTACTGCCAATTTGAAACACATCACTTAACATAAGAGGAAGTAAAATTTGTATCATGTAAAACAAAAACTTACTAAATGATTTGATCTTTATTAGAAAATTAACCACTATAGAAATCATAAATATAAATTGAAAACAAAACAAAAATATCACAATATCTGATAGATCTACACTCATTCAATTTAAACATTATTTATAAACAGATATTTCAAAATCATTTCTCCATTTTTTTTTCATTTTTTTTTTCAAAAACATCTCAAAATAGATGTTATCTTTTGATGTCAAGTATCCAACGAACCTCTTGAGTTACAACTTCTATAAAACACACTTATTTTTACAGTTCACAGATCTAATTTATTATATTAAATCTAAAAATGAAGTTTGTATTGTCAGTTAAATTGCAGCTAACTGCATAAGGTCTATAAGTTAAAGTTAACATCTGTATATAGACAATAAATGTCTAATCCATGGATTATGTAACAGCAAACACTGGACGGAATGTGGAACAAGACAGAATCTGAAACACAAATATATGTATGTGTGTGTTTATATAAATAGTAAATAATAAGAGGATATTTTTTTATTTTTCTTGAAATATGGAATATATTTTCACGAAACATGATAAAATGCCACATATTTTCACGAGCCAGGATTGGTCTTGTTTTGTACGCGATATTTGACGCTACACGATAAGAACTCTTTAAACGTCTGTACAGCACTAATGACTGAATTAAAGATATTGATGTTCAGATTTATTTTCTTAGTTAGACCAGTTTTTATCATTCTAGATAGTTTTCAAAACAAAATTCAACAAAAAGTTGTTCTTTGTTTATCAGATTTTTCAAACAAATTGGCGAAAAAAGTCCCTTCAAATCAATATGAGTTTTGACTCCGCCCACTTTCATATTTATATTTTATATTTATTTTTAAAAAATATGAAATATATTTGACTGATATAGCACCATATTTCATAGGTAAAATTAAATAAAACTATCTTTTTAATGCCTTCATATAGATTGTTTGGTTTTAATGCCTGTGACATTTTAGGCCATATCTCAGCAGCCGGTCCACCAAACTGACAATTTGAAGAATTGTGGAGCCAAAATTTGACTATTTTCTCCTCATTTATCAATAATATAAGCTGTCCATAAATGAGCTAAAACTTACTGATCACAGACTATTATCTAAGACTGAACATCCTGTGCTTTCTTCTGTGCTCGCCTCTCTGATGTACGACGATATCTCTCTAATTCCTGTCAATAAATTCACAACATATATATCTTTTATCTTTGGAGAAAAATTTTAATAGGGCAATGATATTACAGTGCTTTTGTAAAAAATTATACAATACACTGGATTTGGTCTTATTTATTTGTTATTTTTAAAGCTAGTGAAACAGATATTTATAGTTTATTGAGCATTCAAATATTGCAATAAACAAGCATTCTACAAGCTTCTAACATGAAGTTTCATTCAAATGGTAGTAAAATTTGAAAATTACTATGACATTACAATCATCTGATAGTTTAGTTTTATTTGATTACTAGTAATTAAAAATCCACTCACATCATCTTTCTGTGCTCGTAAGTTATCTATTGTTGGTTCAGCATATTTCACATCCTTGGCTGGATCATCAACCTTAGCTGGGTTATCTGTTGCCTGAAACAAACATATATACATTAAATGTTGTAACATTAACTTCAGAAGTCCTTTTGAATTAACCTCTTCCGCCTCCGACTTGACTTGTTTGTCAGCTTTTCCCTCTTTGAAATTAGAACTGACTGTTGCTTATGTCAGGTATTCAAAGATTACAACTTTAAAACTGGACAAGTATCAGCTAACATAAACAATTTAGCCTTGTTGTATATTTGTATACATAACCAGGTTGACCTAGTTCTATATTGGTAACATAAACAGGTTGACCTAGTTCAATATTGGTTAATATAAACAGCTTGACCTAGTTCTATATTGGGTAACATAAACAGGCTGAACTAGTTCTATATTGGTAACATAAACAGGTTGACCTAGTTCTATATTGGTTAATATAAACAGGTTGACCTAGTTCTATATTGGGTAACATAAACAGGTTGAACTAGTTCTATATCGGGTAACATAAACATGTTGACCTAGTTCTATATTGGGTAACATAAACAGGTTGACCTAGTTCTATTGGTAACATAAACAGGTTGACCTAGTTCTATATTGGTTAATATAAACAGGTTGGCCAAGTTCTATATTGGGTAACATAAACAGGTTGAACTAGTTCTATATTGGGTAACATAAACAGGTTGACCTAGTTCTATATTGGTAACATAAACAGGTTGACCTAGTTCTATATTGGTTAATATAAACAGGTTGGCCTAGTTCTATATTGGGTAACATAAACAGGTTGAACTAGTTCTATATTGGGTAACATAAACAGGTTGACCTAGTTCTATATTGGTAACATAAACAAGTTGACCTAGTTCTATACTGGTAACATAAACAGGTTGACCTAGTTCTATATTGGTAACATAAACAAGTTGACCTAGTTCTATACTGGTAACATAATAAGGTTGACCAAGTTCTATATTGGTAACATAATTCTTACATTACCGTTGTTATCCATGTCATATACCAGCCACCAAATTACAATATAAGTAACCAATAGTTCAGTTTCTTGTAAATTAATTACTGCTAACTACATTACTAATCTAATCTGTTTTCCTCATGAAATGGCAAACTTCTCTAAATATAAACCCAACTTGCACCATTTTAAATGTGTTGAATACATTGCATACTTTGAGACAATCTGTCAGACAATGGATTAAAACTAATGAGTACCAAAGTTATTTCACCAAACACATATACTACCCAGATACCAAAGCTGGCTTTTAATTTCATGATAAGCATTAAATTCTCTTCAATCTATACAATTGTTTTAACAATAGATATATAGCCATGATAAAAGAAAATGTTTTTCATTACAAAATAAAGATAAACTTACTGTTTGGGGGAAATAACTTGTAAAACAGTGCTTCCATAACTCAATAGGCTTCCTGGAATGTCAAATTCACAATGTTTGTGTTTCAATAATAAAGTTACACAATCCATCCCTATTCTACATACATGTGTAACACATGTTTTTAGTCTGATATGAAAATAATTCACTCTATCTTTAAATTTAAAAAAAGGGGAAAAATTTTAAAAAATTTTCCCCCCAAAAAAAAAATTTCCCCAAAAAATTTAAAAAAAAAAAAAAAAAATTTTTTTTTTTTTAAAAAAGGTTAAAAAAAAAAAAAATTTTTCTTTCCCTTTTTTTTAAAACCCCCCAAAAAAAAAATTTTTTAAAAAATTTTTTTAAAAAAATTTAAATTTTTTTTTCCAAATTTAAAATTTTAAAAAAAAAATTTTAAAATTTTAAAAATTTCCCCCAAAAAAAAGGGGTTTTTTTGGTTTTTTTTTTAAAAATTTTTTGGGTTTGGAAAAAAAAATTTAAAATTTTTAAAAAAAATTCCCAAAACCAAATTTTTTTTTTAAAAAAAAAACCCTTTTTTTTTTTTTTCCAAAAATTTTTAATTTTTTAAAAAAAAAAAAACCTTTAAAAAAAATTTTGGAAATTTTTTAAAAAATTTTTTAAAAAAAAAAAAAAAAAAAATTTGGAAAAAAAATTTTTTTTAAAAAAAAAATTTTTAAAAACCCCTTTTTTTTAAAAAAGGTTTTCCAAAAAACCCCGGGAAAAAACCAACCAAAAATTAAAAAAATTTTAAAAATTTAAAATTTAAAAAAACCCAAAAAAAAAAAAATTTAAAAAAAAAATAAAAAAGGGAAAAAAAAAAATTTTAAACCAATTTTTTTTTTTTAAAAATTTAAAAAATTTTTTGGGAAATAAAAAATTTAAAAAATTTTTTTTTAAAAAAATTTTTAAAATCGAAAAATTTTCTTTTAATATTTTTTTTTTTAAAAAAAAAATTTTTTAAAAAAAAAATTTTTAAAAAAAAATTTTTTAAAATTTTATTTTTTTTGGGGGGGAAAAATTTCGGGAAAAATTTTAAAAATTTTTTGTTTAAAATTTTTAAAAAAAATTTAAAAAAAAAAAATTTTAAATTTTGGGAAAAAAAAAATTTTTTGGGGGGAAAATTTTTTTTTTTTTAAAATTTTGGGAATTTCCCCCCCCAAAATTTAAAAAAAAAAATTTTAAAAAAGGTTTACCCCCCAAAAATTTTAAAAATAAAAAGGTTTTTAAAAAAAAAATTTTTTTTTTTTTTAAAAAAAAACCCCCCCTTTTTTTTAAAATTTTTTTTAAAAATTTTTAATTTTTAAAAAAAAAAAGGGAAAACAAAAATTTTAAAAAATTTTTCCATTTTTTTTCCAAAATTAATTTTAAAATTTAAATTTTTTTAAAATTTTTTTTTAAATTTTAAATTTTAAGGGGGGGTTTTTTTTCTAAAAAATTTTTTAAAAAAAAATTTTTTTTTTGGAAAATTTTTAAAAAAAAAAAACCCCCTTTTTTTTAAAAAAAATTTTTTTTTTTAAAAAAAGGGAAAAATTTTTTTAAAAAAACCCCCCAAAAAAAAAAAAAAAAAAAAAGGGGCCCCCGGGGAAAAAATTTTTTAAAAAGAAATAAATCCCCTTTTTTCCCCAAAACCCTTTTTTTAAAAAAAAAAAAAATTTTTTTTTTTTTTTTAAAAAAATTTTTAAAAAAAAATTTTTTTCCCCCCTTTTTTAAAAAAAAAATTTTATTTTTAAAAATTTTAAAATTTAAAAAAAACCCCCCAAAAAAACCCCTTTTTAAAAATAATTATGTTTTTTTAAAAATTTTAATTTTTAATTTTTTTTGGGGGTTTTTTTTCCCTTTTTTTTTTGTTTTTAAAAAAAATTTTTTTTTTTTAAATTTTTTTTAAAATTTTTTCCCCTTTTTTAAAATGTTTTTAAAAAAGTGTTTTTTCTGCCATTTTTTTTCCTTTTTTAAAAAACCCCAAAAAACCAAAAATTGGGTTTTTTGGCCCCCTGCTTTTGAATTTTTTTTGGGGGAAATTTTCAAAATTTTTAAATTTTTAAAAAAAAAAAAAGGTTTTTTTGTTTTTTTTTGTTTTAAAAAAATTTTTAAAAAAAAATTTGTCTCTATTGATGACAGCTCTAAAAATACATAAGAAAAAATGATTTATTTGATGTTACAGATAGTTTACAACATTACTACAAACCTTGGTGTTGTTGAGAACAGATGATTTGTCATGAGAAGTTTTTTCTTTTTTTGTCATTTAAAGATTTTAACATGTTTAAATGAAAAACCCGAAAATATATACACAACCTGTGTACTGAAAAAATGTTAATATATTTTGTTTTGTTTAAACATATTTTTTTATTTTTTTCCTTTCGAATTTGTTACAAAGGTTTAAAAGCAAAATAAAAATAGAATGGAAAAAAAAATAAAAAATAAAAATACCAATTTTGAAAAAGAAAAAAGGGTTGGAACCCCCCAAGGGGTTTCCCCCCAAATTTTCCCCTTTGTTTAAAAACCCGGTCCCCGTCCCTTTTTTTTTAAATTTTATATGCCAAAATTTTAAAAAACTTTTTTAATTAAAAATTAAATTTTTACTTTTTTCCGTGTTTGAATCCCCCCCGGTTTTTTATAAAATACAGTAAAATATGAAAAAATAAAAAACCAAAAATTTCATTTTTTTTTCCCCTTTGTTTCCCCCCAAAAAAAAAATTCAAAAACCCCTTTAACAAAAGATTCTTTTTCCCCAATAAACTAAAAATGAATAAAAGGGTTAAAAACAAAATTTTTTTTAAAAAATTTTAAAAAAAATTGAAAAATTATTGAATGCAGGGGCTAAACAGGAACCATTTTTTCTACATTTCCCCCCCAGTATATTTGACCTATTTTGGGCCCTTGCCCCAATTTCCTCACAAAAAAAACCCTGGAAATTTTACAATTTTGGTTTTTAAATTGTTTTAATTTTTAGGAATTTCAAATGTGGGTGGTTGGGTTTTTGAGCACAATTTTACAATTTAATGTTTTTTCCCCCCAAAATTTTTAAAAAAAAATTTTTAATTAAAATAGTAAAAAAAAAAAAATAAAAACAATTTTTATTCTGCGAAAAAAAGAATTTCAAAACCCCTAGTTAAACTGTTGTTGAGGGGATTAAATTTAAAAAAAAGAAAGTTTTAATTTAAAAAAACCCCTTGTTTTATGAGTTTTTCCAAAACATACATTTTATGGTACTCTCAGTAGAAATAGCCCCCATTTGGGAGTGCTTTTTCCAAAATCTCAACGTTTTACAAATCACCTTTCCCTCTTCTTTTGGAAAACTTTAAAATTTCCCCGAAAAAAGAATGGTGTTTATGGGGATTCATTTTATTTTTTTTTAAAGTTTTTATACCCCTTAAGGGTGGGAAAACCCCCTTTTTTATACCATTATTTTTTCATTTTTTTAAAAATTTTTAAAATTGGGTTCTTTCCTTAAAATTACAAATTGAAGTTTTTTTTTATTTTAATTCCAAGCTCAAAAAATTTCAACAAATATTTAAATTTAAATTTTATATGAATTTTAAAAATTTTTGCCTTAAATAAAAATAGAAAATAATTTTTTGGCTTTTTTAAAATTTAAAATTTTGAAAAACCTTTTTAAGAAAAAAAATTTTTAAAAAGTTACCTGCGAAAATAATTCCCCTATTTGCTTTTCCCCCAACCCAAACAAAGAAGGGGGGAAAAAGGAAAGGGTTTTTTTTATTTATTTTCTTTTTTGGTAAACTTTTTCCCCACCTAAAAGGGGCCCCTCCCAACCCCCACGTTTAGTTGGGTCTTACGGATGGTTTGGATGGGTTTGGAAAGGGGGTTTAGAGTTTTTAGAATTTTTTATCACTTTTTCCCCTGTTTGCCAAAAAGTTTTTTTCCCCGGGGTTGAAAAACATTTTTCCAAACCCGGGGTTTGTTTTAAAATTTTTTTAAAAAAACCAAAAAACCCCTAATACCTGTGTGTCTTTAAAAAATTTGGGGTTTTTTTTTAAAACCCAAAAAAAAAACTTAAGGGGAATGATTTAAAATTTAAAAGGGTTCAAAATTAAAAATGATTTTTAACAAACAAAAACCCAACTACTGAAATAAATTAAATTTTTTTTCAAAGAAATATTTTGGGAAAAAGGGTTTAAAAAATTTTCCAAAATTTTTTTAATGATGGGGTTTTTTTAAAGAAATTTAATTAAATGGGTTTTTTAAACTGCTTTGGTAAAAAAATAAAATTAAATTTCTTTTGTTTTTAAAAACAAAAAATTTTTTGTACAAAAAGGAAAAACCTTAATTATTTTAAAATAAATTAATTAAAATTTTTTTTCCAAAAACGGAAAACTCATTTCTTGGGGGAAAAAAAACAAAAAAAATTTTTTTTGGGTAGCAAAAAAATCACCAACAAAAAGGGGCAAATGAAAAGGGTTTTTTTTGGTAAAAAATTTTTTAAACAAAAAAAAGTTTCCCCATGGTTTAAAAAGGTTTGGAGCATGGATTTTGGTTTTAAAAACCCTTTTTTGAAATGAAAAAAATTAAAGCCTTTTGGAATTTTTTTTATTTTTAAAAAAAAATTATAAATTTCTTAAAATTTTTATTTTATCTTTACAAAACCCAAGGGAAATTTTTCAAAAACCAAATTTAGAAAAAAGGAAAAGTTTTTTTTTCCATCAAATTTAGGAAAAAACCAAGGTTCCCCCTCCTTAGGCCTTTTCCCCTATATGTCCAATATCCTTTGGGGCCTTTAAAAAAACAAAAGAAAAAAACTTTTATTTGTTAAGAAAATATATTTCTTTAAACTTTACTTTAGGGAAAATTTAAAAAAATAATATTTGGGAAATTTAATAATAAAAATTAAAAAACCCTTAAAAAAACTGAAAACAAAAAAGGCCCCCAATTTGTTTTTTCCAATTCATTTTTTTAACCAAATTTCAAGAAATCAATGTTAATAACTTTTTGGTTTTTTTTTACATTGAACAGTTTTTTCTTTAAAATTTTTTAACCTTTTCAATTTAAAAGTTTTAAATTAAAAAAAACCAAAAGAAAAACCCGGTTTTTCCTTTTTTTGTTTTTGAGCACAAAAAACATTTCTTTCCTAAAAAATTTTTTAAGGGCATTTGTTAATTTTTAAAAATTTTTATTTTTATTGACAAAAAAATTTCCCACTAAATTCACAAAAATTTTTGATTATTTTATATATTAAAATCCCTGAGTATAAATGAATATAGAAACAAAAGGTTTCCCTTTAAAAAAGGGTATTAAAAGGTTTAAAAAAAAATTTACCCCATTTTTATTTTGTCCCTTTTGGGGCCCTCCCTTGCCAAATGGTTTTACTTTTCCAAGGGGGTTAACCCCGTTAGGCCCCTTTTGGGAGCCCCCCAACCTGGTTTATGAAAAAAATTTTAAAAAAAAAATTTTTAAAACATATTTTTTTTTGTTTAAAATTTAACCCAACATAAAAGTTTCAATTTAAAAGGGAAATGGAAAATTTAAACACTTTTTCAAAATTAAAATTTTTTCAAAAGGGCCCCTTTTGTTGTTTTTATGGTTTTAACAAAAAAAAAGTTTTTTTTTTTGGGTTTTTTACTTTTTCCTTTTTATTTTATAAAATTTATACCCCCCAAGTTTTTAATTTGTTTTTAAATTTAAAAAGGAAATTTAACCCTAAAAACTGTGGGTTACCTGGTAAAGGGCCCCAGAATAAAATTTTTTTTTTACCAATAAAAGTACTGAATATAAATTTTTTTTGGCTTGACAATCAAAAAATAATAAAAAGAAAAAGTTTGCAACCCGAAAAAAAATTTCCCTTACAAAAAAAGGGGGGCAAAAAGGGCGTTTGAAAAAAATAATAAACCCGGGCTATACCAAAGGGAAAATTTTAAAAAAAAATTATATTTTGGCCCAAAGTGTTTCCCAAAAGTTTGAAATTAAAATTTTATAAAATATTTCAAGTAAGCACACCTGAGTATTAAACTGTAATGTTATTTATATATTTAACATATACATCAATCAAAAGATTTACCTGTCAAGAAATCTCATAATGATAGAAGTCTTCCCCTTTAAAAGATAAATATTTACACTTGAAAATCATAAATATGACAATATCATTATACTCAATATTTACAGAAATGTACAGCAAAGATTATCAATCTATTAAATTTATAAATCACAACATCAGTTTATTATATCACTCCAGTTACTTAAATATAATTGCTTTTTATGCAGAATTATCATAAAACTCATCAAAATCGCTAATGAACACAAAGTCACTGTATTTCAAATAATTGTGGATAATATGAATGAAATTTATAAAAAGCACTCTACTCTGTATAGATACTTACAGCATTTTTACCTCCAACAAGGAAGAGTGCATTTTCTGCTGACGTTGCTCCAGAATCTGAAATTATTTAAAATATATTTACATATGTCATGATAATAGCAAAAAAAATATAAAAAATCTGTTTAAAATATATCAAACTGTTTCAATCTAATTTAAATGCTGAGTAAATTATTTGTCAAGTGTTATGAAAGTTCTTATCCATGCTTTTGAGGAAATTTAAGAAAGAGTAAACCATATGAAGTTGGCTCAACATTTTTAGCCATAGTTTGAAAATTTTTGGGCTTTAAAAATTGTTGGCCTGAGAGTTTTCTTATGAAGTCACTCACATAGAAAATAAAATTAATTTCTGGTAACTGAAGTAGTTTTAAACAGCTTCTGATTTTATGTAACAATACACTATTAACAATCTTATTACCTATGACAAACAGCTGGTCTAAGATTTATAGATCACATCAAATTACTTGTAAATTTTTCCCTTCATTTAATTTGTCATAGATCACATCAAATTACTTGTATTTTACCCTCCATCTAGCGTGTGGTACACAAATTTGAGATTAATGGCAAAACCTCTTGTTTGTATTTGGATTTGTTTGTTTGGTTTTACTGCATATTAATACATGATGTTAACTTTATAAACATCAAAAATTAATTTTGTTTGGAATAACAATAAAACACACAAAAATCTGTCGAAAAAAAGTATTTTTTGTTACTAATTCTTTTGAGAGTACTTGCCGTTTTATGACTGAAATTCAACACTATTCTCCATCCCATTGAATATAACCCTTTTTTTGAAAATATTCCTCTTAAAGAAAACAGTTTTTTAGCACGAGTCCCTTAACAATATCTTATAAAAATTTGCTTTTTTGCAAATAAAACGTGTAATATTTAATTTTGCAAGTTTTATTGTTGACAGACAAAATTCCCATTTTCATAAAAAATCACCCTGAAATTCCTCTATCTGGGCTCCCAATCCCCTATGATGTAATACAGGCCCTGCTTTTCTTAATAGTTAGCTATAATGCTAAATAATTGTAACTGTAACAAAAACACCTTCTCATTCATTTGGGAAATAAGGATCAAATCAAATACAACCAAAAAATAAAACTAAAATCTAATCGAAAAGAAACTTTAAAATATGCATTTTTTCCTACTAACTTATATAAACTGACCTTCGGTTCTGTGTGACTTCTCAATTGCAATATCCCACAGGTTATTCATCCTAGAAACAAATATAAATACCAATATGAGAACTAGACATAAATAATTGTTATATAGGAAGATGTGATAATGAGACTTGTCAATGTAACCTGAACAAAGTCAGACCAGCATACCTGTGTTCTGGTGTTAGAGGGGGTGAGGGGTGGGGTTGATGAGCATTTGTAGTGTAGCTGATAGAAGAGGTAGGTACAGAGGGTGGTAAGAATACTGGAGTTAGAGCAAACTTTCAAATTTACATACATGTAATTGAGGGTTTGCTTGGAATATTTCAGAAGGGGTTAAATCTATGCCTGTATGCAAGTCTATAGTTATACATGTAGGCTGCCAAAAATGAGTACTGAAATATACTTTTTTCAACTTAAAGAATGAATTAACTGTAGGAAAAGTTTGTCTTCTATTCATTGTCAATAATAAGTGAGTAAGTAATATATTCATTACAGTGACATGTGTAAACATATTTTACAAATTAAATTTTACAACATATTAAATACAACCGGCCCAATGGGCCTATTTACTTAACATTATAAACGTCATAAGTAACTATATCAACAAACTCATTTGTAAAAATCATAGCTATAACGTAATTGAAAAGTATTGTATATAATCTTTGTTTAATTAATAGTTTATAAGATATGCGATTTATTCTATAAATTTATCTGTAAATGCTTTGTCATCTGTACAAGTATGCTTTGACAATGTATTTCGCTAGCCAAGTTCTAGATTTGTTATTTAGCAAATAAACTAATTTTTCTGGATCAGTCTTTGAGTTAAAATCATTTGTATTATATAGTTCACCAAAGTATTCAGAATATATATGTCTATAAAAATGAGCACTTGGCTACAAAATGTTCTTCGTTTTCGATACACTGATCCGTGCAAAAATCTACAGAGTCTATCTTCAACACCTTCGCCAATGTAACATCCTGTCTCAACGCCTAATGGCAAAATGCCACATCTTTACTGGGCAAGAAGTGATCGTTTGTTTCTTTTCATACTCAAAGATACATATTTTTCAGTCTCAAACTCTGTTTTGAATAAAGTTTTTAGCTTTGACATGTTTTCTATCCCATTTTTCCACATGGTACTATAATATTCAATGATCTTAGAGTGGGCAAAGTCAAGAGTTATAACCATTTTGTTGTTGTAGTGCTCTGTTAAACCGATTAATGATAACATTTCTTTCAGTCCACTTCACCAATTATTTGAATATAAACTATAATAATATGGATGCAGAAATGACAAGGTTTTGGCTTAGGACTGTGTTTGGTAGCTTCAGCTACATGAGCACAGGGGCAATATGGAGCTGCATATCAGGTCACATAAATGTGTTAATTGCAGTCAATTATTGGCAGTAACTGTTTATCGAGTGTAGGACAAAAGCCCTCCCGTCAAAAAGTGAAAAAGCGGACAAAAGCCCTCCTGAGAAAATACAACAAATTGCACGCTCATTGATTGAAAGAGTGAGTTAAATTTACCAATTGAAATTACGCGTAATAAAGCGGTATTATAGTAAGAGAGGGACTAAAACTCGAATTTTTTCCTTATTTATTTTTGGTTGCAAGTCAAATCAAAATTGTTATATTTGTTATGGGAATCCTATCGGCTCCCAATGAACCAGTCTTTGATGCATCAGAATGCATTGTTGCACCTCGATTGACAATTTTGACCAATAGATTTTTAAGAGTAGGCATTGTCATGATTGTGTATGGCCTTCAGCTGAGGAAGTTTCATAAAGTTTAATTTTCGACACCTTTAAAATGAAAAAAAAGAAGAAAATAATTATTGTTAGGCTCTGATATTTGCGTCAATTACCGATGGTATAGAAGTTTGTCCATCATTAAGGAAAGTTTGCATGTTCCGTGAAACGCATTTTAAAATTCTTTAGTCAGTCCTTGGGTAGGCTTTATTTAAGGCTTATTAATTGTTTGTGCTGTTATGCTCGATATTTATCTGCTGTATTTGAAAATTATATAATTATTTTTTGCTTTTCACCGTTTCTTTTTTTTTTCAATGTTCTTTTTATTTATTTATTTATTCCATACCGATCATTATTTATTCGATCCATGTGCTTAATTAACAAAAAAATCATCTTTCAGTCAAATAAAACAACAAATCATAATCATGAGGCACAAAATAACATATACATGGTCGACTTCTATATAATTTTGAAAAGTGCCGTACGGCTAGACAATACAGTGTGTCCTGGCTAGTCGTACGTGACTCACGTACGGCTAGAACTTTTGGCTAGCCGTACGGGCCCGTACGGCTAGCCACTTCCTTCAGCTGAAGCTGTTAAAAATTGAGGGTTGGATAATGTTTTAGGTCATCAAAATTGTAACATATTTTGTGAACATAAAAATTATGAGCCATACCCATGGGGAATAGATTTCTTTGCACTAAATAAAACAAGAAAAATTGTACACAAACTATATGTATATAAGACACGTACCTATTGTATCAGTTAAAGGTTTTCTAAATTTTTTAGGAATGTTTATTTTCTTCCAGGTCAAACAAACGCATTTGTTATTTATTCTCCTAGAGCGTTCAAATGAAAAGAGTTAATTGACATGCGCAACTTGATAATTAAGACTTCCGGTAACGTGAAATTCGCCGACTAATTTTATTTTAATATTTTTTCGATGGAAAACGATATTTTAGATTCATTAGAGGATATCGGGTGAGTGAAAATTTGAAGAAATATTGCAATATGCAGCTGCCATGGCGCACTATATCTTTATTTTTATGTTTTTTATTTTTATATTTTTTGTACTCAAAACTACTCGACCCATAGACGCTTGCCGGGACGTAATACGCAAAATTCTATCAAAAATCTGTTCACATTAAACAAGAATTGGATATCTGTAACACGGATAAAATTGGGTTTCAAACAATTTTTGCACTTATAGAATATACCTTATAGTGTATTCTGGAACCATCTGTTCAAATTCTAGCAGTTGTATGGCCATTAAAGACCCCCAATTATACTGGTCATACATGTATTACCTTTCATCTTACATAGAAATTTATCAATGTTTTTCACTTGCTTATCAATGTCTTAAAGGGACAACATTCGCTGCCCTGGCAGTGAGTATTTGTGGGTGTGACTAATTAGTGATGTAAAACTGTCTGTTATAAACCCTGAGTTAAAACAGGTATGTATATTAACGGTATCCGCAACTCTATACAGTAAATCAATAACGGTAAATTATGCTGTCGTGGCAGATAATCCATCCAGACTGACGATCGTTATTGATTTTTATCGACGATTACATAGCATTAAGCGGTGTGATATTTGACCTTGGTTATTTAAATTACCGTCAACATGTTATTTTCTGTTCAATTTTTTAAAAGTAACATATTCTAGAAAGCTGAAAGATAGATTTTTTCAAATATATATTTTATAAATCAGTGCGTTTAGTATGAAGAAAATTACGACGAGTTAAACACATGAGTTTTTATTTTTTGTCTCCCGATTATGTAAAACTTCAGTAAAAATAAAGATGCCCTCTTCGAGCAAATATAAGATTTTTTCGTCATTTATGGTCCGAATTTCGCAAAATACCTATCAAAAGAAAGCTTAGAATTTGATCTTTTTAACCGTAACAAAGCTAAATTATTTCTGGAATTGTTACGAGTAAAAAACGCAATTTACTATCAGCCAAATCGCGACTGCACACGAAAGTAATTTTATACACATGTAGTAACATGTTATTATTGTTTCATCATTTTTGGCCGAAATTTGTGAAAAAATATTAATAAAAAGCTTATAAACTGTAGTTTTAAATTTTTCAATTTTCAATTTCTATTGCGTATCTTAAATAAATGCGGATAAGATATCGTGAAGAATCACATGGCCAAAATCATCTTGCATATTTCGAACGCAATTTTTACCATATATTTAACTTATTAAGCCCTTTATACTTTTTATTTGAACATTACTTTAAAGAATGAAGTTATCTATCTATTTTTAAAATTGAATAAAAGTATGATTGTATAATTTTCAAACTGCACCGGAAAAGAGCTTTTATAAAAATGTTCGTTTTCTGAAAAACGGCCTAAACATTTTTTGTTATGAAAGTATTGTGAAAAATAAGTACCGTACATTGTACCGTCATAATTGATGTTTGCTGCAGATTCAGTAATTTATTTAATCACGGTTATTAATGTGCATCTATTTAATTGTTCAATTGCGATAGTTTTCACACTTTTTCTATAAGTCGGTCCGGTTTGAAACTGCTTTTTAGTGGGTAAGGCTAGATTGTAATTACTATATCCAGTTGTTTTTATTTAAAACATATTCTCTGTGTTGCTTTTTGAGTAAACTGTTTCACCAGTATCTTTTCATGTTCTCTTGAATGAACGTACATGTTTTCGAGAGAATAGACATAAAGGTATTCAAAATGGTAGTATCAGGTACCTGGTAGTAAAAAAAGAAATAAAAATGAAAACACATAAGTTTTGCCTTTTATTTTATAAGTTGATTTAAATAAAACTTCAATAGCATCGCACTGGCTATAAAATGACTGTTTATAGTCATTTCATTTAGTGTCACTTTATTCCCGAAATTTATTTGACACTTCTGGGACTCTCCTGGCACAAGCTGCAAATCTTTGAACTTTTGGGCTGTATCAGCATTCAGTGAAATTCTCGTGCTGATCTACCACTTGAAACCCTTGAAACACATTTGTTACGATCTAAAATAGATGAAATGACATTTAATATACATATTTTGTTTTATCAACACAGAATAACCATGTACTAATGTTAATATACGTACCTGGAATAACTAACAAAAAAGAAGTTGAATATAACTTATAAGTTAATGAAAAAAATGGGGGAAAATTCATCCATTTTCAAAAAGACATAGCATCAAAATTACTCGGCTGAAAATTATAAATAATATCATAAACCATTAAGTTGATTAACTATGATGTAGTGACTAACTTTTCAGCTTTCATTTATATTTTAAAGGTCTTTAAATACCTCTGATGCTTCGGCTAAAATAGGTCGTGAATTTAATTTTGCACCACAGTATAGATGGATACCGAAAATAAGCTATTTTCGCGAAAATAAGATCGCGGCTACGAAAATAAGATTTATTTTTGAAATAGTGCATTTATCTGTTGAAATAATTATGTAAAATATATTTATATGCATTCATTGAATGATTTTACAGCAAATTGAAATTTCAGAACCAAAAAAATATTTAAAAAAGTGAAGTTTGAGCCGAAAATACTATCGTACGAAAATAGCTTGAATGCAATGTAAATCGAAAATACGATCGGGTCTACGAAAATAAGATTTATTTTTGATTAAATGTATTGAAAACGTATTTTTGTTGATATTAAATGATTTGTATGAATGAAATAATAAAAAATGAAGTATTTTGTAATGAAATATTAGACGTTTGTGCTGCATACAAGGTAATTTCCCAAATTACAAAGAAGGCATGCGAAAATAACCCAAGATGGTGATTACGAAAATAAGATCATAACTTATAAAATTGTATTACTTGCAAATAAGATTGTATAAATTGAATTAAATCTTCTCTTATAAGACAAGAAAAGGTAGTGGTGAAAAAGTATCAAAATAAAAGCAAGAATTAGCTAGTGTGCAAATAACCAGAAACAACGACTACAAGAATATAAGATCTACTGCATGAAAATTAAATCTATACTGTACAGTTCTCAACGAAAAGATATAGATATCTTATTATGCCCCCATTTCGAAGAAAAGGGGGTATATTGCTTTGCACTTGTCGGTCCGTCGGTCCGTCGGTCCGTCGGTCCGTAGACCAAATGGTTTCCGAGTGATAACTAAAGAACCCTTAGGCCTAGGAACTTCAAACTTGGTATGGTGATTGGTCATGACCAGTAGATGACCCCTATTGATTTTGGGGTCAAGGGGTCAAAGGTCAAGGTCACATTGACCTTGAAAGCAAAAACGGTTTCCGATCAATAACTAAAGAACCTTAAGGCCTAGGAACTTCAAACTTGGTATGGTGATTGGTCATGACCAGTAGATGACCCCTATTGATTTTGGGGTCAAGGGATCAAAGGTCAAGGTCACATTGACCTTGAAAGCAAAAAACGGTTTCCGATCAATAACTAAAGAACCTTCAGGCCTAGGAACTTCAAACTTGGTATGGTTATTGGTCATGATCAGTAGATGACCCCTATTGATTTTGGGGTCAAAGGGGGTCAAAGGTTCAAGGTCACATTGACCTTGTAAGCAAAAACGGTTTCCCGATCAATAACTAAAGAACCTTAAGGCCTAGGAACTTCAAACTTTGGTATGGTGATTGGTCATGATCAGTAGATGACCCCTACTGATTTTGGGGTCAAGGGGTCAAAGGTCAAGGTCACATTGACCTTGAAAGCAAAAAACGATTTCCGATCAATAACTAAAGAACCTTAAGGGGGCCTAGGAACTTCAAACTTGGTATGGTGATTGGTCATGATCAGTAGATGACCCCTATTGATTTTGGGTCAAGGGGTCAAAGGTCAGGTCACATTGACCTTGTAGGTAAAAACGGTTCCAATCAATAACTAAAGAACCTTAAGGCCTAGGAACTTCAAACTTGGTATGGTGATTGGTTATGACCAATCAGATGACCCCTATGATTTTGGGGTTAAGGGGTCAAAAAGGTCAAGGTCACATTGACCTTGTAGGTAAAAAACGGTTTCCGATCAATAATGAAAGAACCCTTAGGCCTAGGGACTTTCAAACTTGAGATGGTGATTGGTCATGATCAGTAGATGACCCCTATTGATTTTGGGGGTCAAGGGGTCAAAGGTCAACGGTCACATTGACCTCTTAGGTAAAAAAAACGGTTTCCGATCAAATAACTAAAGAACCCTTAGGCCTAGGAACTTCAAAAACTTGGTATGGTGATTGGTCATGACCAGCAGGTGACCCCTATTGATTTTGGGGTTAAGGGGTTAAAGGGCAAGGTCACATTGACCTTGTAGGTAAAAATGCTTTCGATCAATAACTTAAGAACCCTTATGCCTAGGAACTTCAAACTTGGTATGGTGATTGGTCATGACCAGCAGATGACCTATTGATTTTGGGGTCAAGGGGTCAAAGGTCAAGGTCACATTGACCTTGTAGGTAAAAACGGTTTCCGATCAATTAACTAAAAACGCTTAGGCCTAGGAACTTCAACCTTTGTGTGATTGATTGGTCATGACCAGCAGATGACCCCTATTGAGTTTTAGGTGAAGGGGTCAAAGGTCAAGGTCACATTGACCTTTTAAGTAAAAACGGTTTCTGATCAATAACTCAAAGAACACTTAGGCCTAGGAACTTCAAACTTGGTATGGTGATTTGTCATGACCAGCAGATTACTACCTATTGATTTTGGGATTAAGGGGTCAAAGGTCAAGGTCACAAATGACCTTGTAAGTAAAAAACGGTTTCTGATCAATAACTAAAGAACGCTTCGGCCTAGGAACTTCAAACTTGGCATGGTGATTGGTCATGACCAGCAGAATGACCCCTATTGATTTTGGGGTCAAAGGTCAAGGTCACATTGACCTTGTATGTTAAAACGGTTTCCGATCAATAATAAGAGAACCCTTAGGCCTTGGAACTTCAACCTAGGCATGGTGATGGTCATGACCAGCAGATGACCCCTATTGATTTTTGGGGTCAAGGGGTCAAAGGTCAAGGTCACATTGACCTTGTAGGTAAAAACGGTTTCTGATCAATTTAAACTAAAAACGCCTAGGCCCTAGGAACTTCAAACTTTGTATGATGATTGGTCGTGACCAGCAGATGACCCTTATTGAGTTTTGGGTCAAGAGGTCAAAGGTCAAGGTCATGACCAGTAGATACTTTATAACCCTTATTAATTGTTTGATCACTGGGTCAGAAGTCATGCATAATAACCTTATCACATGACTAATTGGCTGCTGATAGGGGGCATACATGTTTTACAAACATATCTTGTTTTTTACAGATTTTGTACAGGTTTTGTTATCAAAAAGATATATTTTTATACAGATCTTATTTTCGTTAAAGATCTTATTTTATAAAGACATTATTTTCATATAGAGTCGTTTTTCATATCATTCTGATAAAGATATTATTATCTTACAAATATTATTTTCGTATAAATCTTATTCCCATACAGACATTATTTTCGTACAGATCTTAATTATTTTCGTATAAATCTTATTTTCACAAGGATATTATTTTCATACAGCTTTTATTTTCGCACATCTTAATTATTTTCGTATAAAAATCTTATTTTCACAAGGATATTATTTTCATAACAGCTTTTATTTCACAGATCTTATTTTCGTAAAAATCTTTAGTAAAAAACAGACATTATTTCATACAGATCTTTTTTTCATATAGATCTTATATTCGTGCGTATTATTTTTTCTTACAGATCTTATTTTTTTTCCCGTATAGATCACATTTTCTATAGGATCTTATTTTCGTATATATAGTATTTTCATACAGGTATTATTTTTTTTACATACATGTATATTATTTTCATATGTATCTTATTCTCGTAAGGATATTATTTTCATGCAACTTTCATTTTCACAGATCTTACATTTGTGAAAATCTTAGTCGAATACAGACAATATTTTCATACAGATCTTATTTTCGATTAGTTTTTGTGTCGCCTCTACGGAGTAGTGGCGACATATAGGGATCACTTCTCCGTCGTCTGTCTGTCCGTCTGTCTGTCTGTCTGTCTGTCCGTCTGTCTGTCCGTCCGTCCGTCACAAAACTTGTCCGGACTACTCCTCATTAACTACTGGTGCAATTTCATCCAAACTTTACAGGAATGATCAGTATCAAGTCTAGTAGTGCATATTGTCAGGATTTTCCGGTTCAATGATTTTTGTCAGAGTTATGGCCCTTTAATAATTTTTAATTTTAAAGTTTGTCCGGACTACTTCTCTTATACCACTAATGAAATTTTCAATGAAACTTTACAGGAATTGATCTGTGCTCAAGTCCTTGCGCATATTGCACGGGGTTTTCCGGTTGATGATTTTTGGCCGAGTTATGGCCCTTTGATAAAAAAGGTTTCTTTTTCTGTGTGTTGCCAGATACACAAAAGCTTGTCCGGACTACTCCTCATAAACTACTGGTGCAATTTCATCCAAACTTTACAGGAATGATCAGTACCAAGTCTAGTTGTGCATATTGTCAGCATTTTCCGGTTCAATGATTTTTGTCAGAGTTATGGCCCTTTAATAATTTTTATTTTTAAAGTTTGTCCGGACTACTTCTCTTATACCCACTTATGCAATTTCAATGAAACTTTACAGGATTGATCTGTAGCTCAAGTCCTTGCGCATATTGCACGGGTTTTCCGGTTGAATGATTTTTGGCCGAGTTATGGCCCTTTGATAAAAAGGTGTTTTTTTCTGTGTGTTGCCAGATACGCAAAAGCTTGTCCGGACTACTCCTCATAAACTACTGGTGCAATTTTATCCAAATTTTACAGGAATGATCAGTACAAAGTGGTTAGTCTAGTTGTGCACTGTCCGTCTGTCTGTCCGTCTGTCACAAAATTTGTCCCAACATGAAATTGGCCATCATGAGGCGACACATGTGATTACTGATCGCTCTTGTATTTTCAATAGGATCTTATTTTCAAACAATAGTATTTCCATACAGATCATATTCTCAATTATTTTTGTACGAATATCAATTCATACAGGTTTTGACTTTGAACTGTTTACAGATCTTATTTTCGTACATGTAGTACTTTCATAAATAATATACATTTTCATACAGGTATTAACTATTTACAGCAAGATCTTATTTTGGTATATACCTTTTTTCGTATGAACATTATTTTCATACAGCTTTTATTTCTTTACAGATTTTATTTTTGTAGAGCACTGTTATGATTTTATTTTCGTACGGTACATATTCTTATATAGATCTAGATCTTATTTTCGTAGTTGTTTTTGCAAAAGTTCTTTTTTTATATTTTGATACTTTTTCATCAAAAACATTTCTTGTCTTATAAGAGAACATTTCATTCTTAAAACTTATTTGCAAAATCATTAAAAGTAAAGTTAATTATATTGACGTTATGCTTGTAAATATTAATTGTATTATAGATGATGTACAATGTACAAATCTTAATAAAGTATCTGTTCTGTTCTGTTACTTTTTAGTATGAGTTATGAACCATGTAAATCTTATATATATTTTCGTAGATGCCATCTTGAGATGTTCATGCGTTCTTACTATACTAAATTTGGAATATTTACCATATTTGCCGCACAAACGTCTAATATTTCATTACAAAACATTTTATTTTTTATTATTTCATTCAAACAAATCATTTAATAACAGCAAAAATACGTTTTCAATACATTTTATCAAAAATAAATCTTATTTTCGTAGACCCGATCGTATTTTCGATTTACACGGCAATTCAAGCTATTTTCATACGATAGTATTTTCGGCTCAAACTTCACTTTTTTTAAATATATTTTCAGTTCTGAAATTTATTATTTCATTCATACAAATCAATTATTAAGAAACAAAAAATACGTTTTTAATACATTATATAAAAAAATAAATCTTATTTTCGTAGACCCGATCGTATTTTCGATTTACACGGCAATTTGAGCTATTTTCGTACGATAGTATTTTCGGCTCAAACTTCATTTTTTTAAATATTTTTTTTGGTTCTGAAATTTTAATTTGATGTAAAATCATTCAATGAATGCATAAATATATATTTTACATAATTATTTCAACAGATAAATGCACTATTTCAAAAATAAATCTTATTTTCGTAGCCGCGATCTTATTTTCGCGAAAATAGCTTATTTTCGGTATCCATCTATACCCAATGTTTTTCGTACCATGTGCGCATGCGCGTAAATGGCACGACACCAATCAAGGTCTAAAATCTAGTTGCGGATACCGTTAATATACATACCTGGTTAAAAATAGCATGCAGTGTTAACCTGCAGAGAGAATGTAAACAAAAACAGCTGATTTTACACAGGAGATTAATTAAAGACGTTATCAAGCCATCTTGTCCAGATATTATTTTTGAAGTCAGTTGTTTTTCTTTTTTTCACTGGAATCCTGTATGTGTGACAGTGTCCTTCATCAAGTCAGACAATTATATCCAAATCCAAAGGATGTGCATTAAATGGGACATTTCTTTTAGGAACAATAAAATTTTTATACATATCCAACATTTACTTTGATCACAGATATGCTTTGATTAACATTGTGAAATGTAATTTTTGACTACAAGATATTTACAACAAAATATAGTACCTAGAAGTTACTTTTACTGTTTTCATGAAGTTTAAACCATTCAAATACAAGTTAAATCAGTACTTTGAAATTTAAAAAAAAACTCATAGATTAATGGATTATTGTAAATTTGTTGGATATTAATACTTTTTGATAAAGTAACGTCAGTAAAAGTTATCATGATAATGTATTCAGCAATCCAAAGTGTCGTCTTCCCTGAAATATAAATCGTCTGCTCGCTAAAATAAACACTGCCACATGCTTCTGTTTACTACTGAAGGTTCATGACCTGTAATGATCACATGGCTTCTCCCAGGAAAATTCAAATTTCAAATTGACAGCCAGTATTTTTTTCCAAAAATACACTTAACAAAGTTACATTTTGAATAATTTTGGTCAATCTTTATCTAAAATATCTATGCCTACATACATGCCAAGTGTTGTTTTAATGCATTTGGTAATTAATCTTAAATCTTTGAAAAAGGGTCCCTGAAGTGAAGCATGCATAAAATTAATAAGAAACCTGCCCTAGCGCCATCTGCTGGCTTTTATAGTCCAGTTGGGCCTTTAAACATAAATCAAAGTAAACAAAAATACTGTAGGAATTGGGCAAATGTGATGTACGTGTAAATTTGTGCAAATTGAAACAAAAAATTATTGTGCAACAAGAAGGTTTAAGTTGTTTAACTAAAAAGTTTATGCTCTTACATGACAATCCTGATGCTTAAATGAAGAATGACCAATATCATAAATTATAAGAGTATGACTATAACAAAAGTATTGATCATTGGAGCACCACACTATATACTGTATTCCAGTATAAACCAGACAAGAAGCTTGAATAATTAAATGCTCAAATCTCGCCCTTTCAGTTTCTGACACCCTAGAGAATGAACTTTGAAACGTCTAAATGGCGTCTTATTCATTGTATTCACACTGATTTATATAAGATAATGAATTAAAAACGTAAGAATTGACAAAATAAACAATATCTGTCTATTTTATGATCATGATTTCTGCAAGCGTCTAGAGGTGCTGCTCCAACACTGTATTGAGTTAAATCTAAATTATAAAAGGCATACTAAAATATGTCCAAATCTAACAGTTAATGTAAATAAAGGGAGGTAATTAGAAATGTATTTTGATTAAATCTTGGCCAAATTTTCAATAAAAAATTTTTAAATTTATTTACAATGTAAAGTTGATTGTGTTATTAAATTGTAACAAATTCTTAGATGTTGGAAGGGAACTGATATACATGTAAAAAAAGGTTAGCTGAACCTATTGTAATACAATGTATGCATTGATAAACAATAATTTACTCTTTTTATTTCTTTGAAAAAAAAGCATGATTTATGAGTATATTTCATTATTATCAGATATACTGGTGAGATTTTACAAGAGGAAGTTTTACAACGGGCACTAGAAGATGGACCTTGTTCTTTGGACTATACTAATCTTGTGTCATGGCTTACACACCAACTCAAGGATTTCTGTTCTTTACAAGAGTCAGTGAATGCTATCACTGGTAAGATATCAGCCTGCTTTACTTTATGTTGTCATTACATTTATCAAATCTCTTCCTTTAACAATAAGCAGATCCGAATTCAAAGCAGACCTTGTCTTATACACTAAGTCAGCAGGGTACATGTAAGATCAGTTGCCACAAAATAAGTGAAAGTAATTACCCAGCGAATTCACAACAATTAAAGAACTTAGTTTAGTTAGTTATGTATAAAGCAACTACAAATGGTATAAAGAATCCTGTTGACATTTTTAGACAGAATAAAAATCATTCAAGTGTGTTCAGTACTTAAGTATGTGAGGAAACAATTTAAAAATAAGCAAAATTGATTTGAAAAAATAAAGTTACTTCTAGCCTTTGATAAGGTAACTGGATACAGAAAAAACTGTAAAGACTCGAAATTTAGGTTCAAATTATGTTAGGGTTGTAGATAACAATTGGCTTAATTGCTTACATTTCCTGATGTACATTATTGATTATCATTCTTAAAACTACATGTACATAAATATGTTACAGGTCCTGATGATGCTTCAAACTTCTTGATGGAACTTAGTGGATTCCTCAGAGAATATGGTAATTCTTTTTTTCTCTCAATATTTGGTAGCTGTGTAAGTTTTAAAATGTTTCTGTATTTATTTTAGTGTTTTCCATGGATAACACTTCTGTGCTTGTATTCCAGTTTAGCGAGATCTATCTTAAATTATTCAGTATTAAATAACATTCAACATTATCATGACTTGAATTAGAGGCATTTGTATTTATTGAAAAACAAATGTTTAAATGATAATCTCATAGAATAAAAAATCTTACTTACGCTTGCACTAAGTTGTAAATATGAACTTATGTACTCACTAAAAAAGTGACTTGTATATTTTGTTGCCTCAGGTTGTCCCTATAATGCATTGAATGATGGACCTATTACACAAAGACTGGCAACAAAAGAATCTCGACTTCAACTTTTAGGTTTGTTTCTATTCAAATTTATTTTATGTCTTCTGATTTGAGCACAAATGATTTTATATATATATGAATAATGATTAAATTTCTAGCCCATCAAATACTGAAAATTTACATAAATTAAATAATACTTTTAACTTTTTACTAATTGAATAATTAAATTTTCTAACTAGTTTGTGCCTTTCAATTTAAACAAAGCAAGCTGTAAAATGTTATGAGTTAATAGATTATCCTATTGTTTTTGTCAAATACCAGTTTTGTGCAAGAGTGGTTGAGTTGATTGGAAAGTGTTTTTTTGCATTCATTACTAAGTAAGATGTGATGTTTTAGTTGTTATCAAGATGAATCATTTTTAAAAAATAAGTAACATAAACCATTGAGCAGGAGTTTTATAAATCCATTATATAGATAATACACTATTGCAATAACTGTGATCAATTTATTAAGGTTTTTATATGCCCTGTTGGCAAAATAAACAAATGTGATTGAATGTGCCAATTCGGCCCCCCTTAGGTATTATATAGGGAAAGTGTATCTTTTATTGGCATATTCTAATGCTAGTTTGGTTCTTGGTAAAAAGAATCATACATGTCTTAAACTTGCTGAATAAGAATGATAAAATTATCACTTTCATTTAGCTTGTTTAAATATGAAATGTGAATTGACACTCATGTAAAATTGACTAAGTTTTATGAATAATTTTTATTTTATTGTATGTTTCTACTCAGGGTAATTTTTTTTAGGATGTGCTATTTATTTTGTTTAGATTATCTTATTACTGAGTTACAAGGTGTTACCATGGTAGCCACCAGAAATCCAGCCCTCCTTAAAACAACGGCACCAACTGCAGCTGCTGATGTCCCTGATCAGGTAATCATTTTAAATATATGCTAGGTACACTAATTTCTATAAAATTTAGTTTAGCTTTTTGATGTTATTCTTCTTGCATTTCCTAAGTAAATAACCAAACAAATATAGGTATTTTTAGCAATTTTTATCAGCTTTATTTGTGTATTTTCCAGTACATATATTCTAGCAAATATAAACATTGATTGTAGAAGAAATAAATCATGAAAAGATATATTTTTGTAACCCTTTTTATATGTGTGTTCATTCTGAAGATTAACTAGGGTTATTATGGTCATTGTTTGGTTGTATAATGACACAAGTTATATTATTACATAAAGAACAGTTGTATTATGACATGAAGACTGGTTGTATTGTGACATGAAGTCTGGTTTTATTATTACAGTATGAGAGTGACACAGCTCGATATCTAAAGCTTATGTTGATAGCTCTAGGATTTCCTAAACCTCCTGCCAATATCACTGCCTTTCAACTCTTCAGTAAATTAGAAACCAAGGTAATGTTTATGATTTTATAATAATTGTAAAGGCATGTATGTTGGAATGGTGATTAAAAAAACTTCAGCTAAAATATCCAGCAGAATAAGATTTGAACATATTAGAAAAAGCAACTAAGTGTCTAAGACCAGGCAATGATTTAAGATACTTTTAATAATACGATTTATTCATACTTTACTAATTATGCCCCCACTTCGAGGAAGAGGGGGTATATTGCTTTGCACTTGTCGGTCCGTCCCGTCCGTCGGTCCGTTGACCAAATGGTTTCCGAGTGATAACTAAAGAATCCTTAGGCCTAGGAACTTCAAACTTGGTATGGTGATTGGTCATGACCAGTAGATGACCCCTATTGATTTTGGGGTCAAGGGGTTAAAGGTCAAGGTCACATTGACCTTGTATTTTAAAACGGTTTCCAATCAATAACTAAAGAACGCTTAGGCCTAGGATCTTCAAGCTTGATATGGTGATTGGTCATGACCAGCAGATGACTCCTATTGATTTTGGGGTCAAGGGGTCAAAGGTCAAGGTCACATTGACCTTGTAGGTAAAAACAGTTTCCGATCAATAACTAAAGAACCCTCAGGCCTAGGAACTTCAAACTTGGTATGGTGATTGGTCATGACCAGCAGATGACCCCTATTGATTTTGGGGTCAAGGGGTCAAAGGTCAAGGTCACATTGACCTTGAAGGTAAAAACGGTTTCCGATCAATAACTAAAGAACGCTTAGGCCTAGGAACTTCAAACTTGGTAAAACCGTATGATGATTGGTCATGACCAGCAGATGACCCCTATTGATTTAGGGGTTAAGGGGTCAACGGTCAAGGTCACATTGACCTTGTAGGTAAAAACGGTTTCTGATCAATAAATAAAGAACCCTTAGGCCTAGAGACTTCAAACTTGGTAAGATGATTGGTCATGACCAGCAGATGACCCCTATTGATATTGGGGTCAAGGGGTCAAAGGTCAAGGTCACACTGACCTTGTAGGTAAAAAAGGTTTCTGATCAATAACTAAAAAGTTCTTAGGCCTAGGAATTTCAAACTTGGTATGATGATTGGTCATGACCAGCATATGACCCCTATTGATTTTGGGGTCAAAGGTCAAGGTCACATTGACCTTTTAGGTAAAAACGGTTTCCGATCAATAACTAAAAAAGGCTTAGGCCTAGGTACTTCAAACTTGGTATGATGATTGGTCATGACCAGCAGATGACCCCTATTGATTTTGGGGTCAAGGGGTCAAAGGTCAAGGTCACATTGACCTTTTAGGTAAAAAGGTTTCTGATCAATAACTAAAAAAGGCTTAGACCTAGGAACTTCAAACTTGGTATGATGATTGGTCCTGACCAGTAGATGACCCCTATTGATTTTGGGGTCAAGGGGTCAATGACATAGTGACCTTGTACTTAATGACCGTTTCTGACCAATAACTCAACAACTCAAGTTGCCTTGGTTGATATTTTTATGTGCTTTTGGTATACACATTTGAAGGTCTTATGTAATATAACAACTTGGCTGTCATTAATGAGGCCTATGTGATTCATAAAATTTATATATATTATTTGGTAAGATTGCTGCACACAACCTATGGGGTCACAATAATTATTACCTTGTGACTAGTCATGACCAGTAGATACTAGATAACCCTTATTAATTGCTTGTTCACTGGGTCAGAAGTCATGCATAATAACCTGATCACATGACAAATTGGCTGCCGATAGGGGGCATACATGTTTTACAAACATATCTTGTTTATCTAAATTTTACAGTAAAAAAAAAAAAAAAAAAAAAAAGCATAATGTCTATTTAAAAAAATTAATTTTCTTAAGTGTGCAAGTTTTGCTTATACATGTAGTTGAAATTGTTGATGATTTATTTTAAGGAATTTCAGACTGGGTTGTGTATTTAGACAAGTTGTTTATTTGAACCTTTTGATTGGAATTAAACACTGAATGGATGAGGCATGCATACATTGACCTAGAAATAGAACTTGTTTGATTTACCAGACAGTTTAACAATGGCATAAATCATTTTATCTATTTTTAGCTCACCTGAGCATATGCTCAGGGTGAGCTATTTGGATCACTTTTCGTCCGTCATACGTCGTCCGTTCACACTTTAAAACGACATCTTCTCTGAAACCATAAGGCAGATCATAATGAAACTTCACAGGGATGTTCCTTGTGTGAAGCCTTAACAAAGTTGTTCAAAGAATTCCATTCTATGCAGAACGCAACCAAAAGAAAAAACTTTAAATAACTTCTTCTAAAAAACCCAAAGAGCTATAGCTTAGATATTTGGCATGAATCATCTTCTAGTGAGTGTCTACCAAGTTTGTTCAAATAAAAGCCCTGGGGTCAGAATTGGCCCCCCAGGGGGTCATTGATTTTCCCTGTATGCATATAGTAAAAACTTAAAAAATCTTCTTTTAAAGAACCCAAAGAGCTAGAGCTAAGATATTTAGCATGAAACATGTTCTAAATGGGTGTCTACCAAGTTTGTTCAAATAAAAGCCCTGGGGTCAAAATTGGCCCCGCCCCAGGGGGTCATTGATTTTCCCTATATGCATATAGTAAAAACTTAAAAAATGTTCTTTTAAAGAATGCAAAGAGCTAGAGTTAAGATATTTAGCATGAAACATGTTCTAAATGGATGTCTACCAAGTTCTTTCAAATAAGAGTCCTGGGGTCAAAATTAGCCCCGCCCCGGGGGTCATTCATTTTCCTTATATGTTTATAACAAAAACTTAGAAGATCTTTTTTGAAAAAAAAAACAAAAAACAAATAGCTAGAGTTTAGATACTAAGCATGAAACATCTTCTAGTGAGTGTCTACCAAGTTTGTTCAAATAAAAGCCTTGTGGTAAAAATTGGCCCCGCCCTGGGGGTCATTCATTTTCCTTATATGTGTATGACAAAAACTTACAAAATCTTCTTTGAAAAAACTCAAATAGCTAGAGTTTAGATATTAAGCACGAAGCATCTTCTAGTGAGTGTCTACAAAGTTTGTTCAAATAAAAGCCCTGGGGTCAAAATTGGCCCCGTCCCAAGGGACATTGATTTTCCTTATATGTGGAGAGCAAAAACTTAAAAATCTTCTTTGAAAAAACCTGAATAGCTAGAGTTCAGATATTAAGCATGAAACATTGTCTAGTAAGTGTCTACAAACATTGTTCAAATAAAAGCCCTCGGGTCAAAACTGGCCCTGCCCCAGGTGTGTCATTGTTTTAAACTATATGTGTAAAGAAAAAAACTGGAAAAAATCTTCTTTTAAAAAACCCAAGAAGCTAGACCATGAAACATCTTCTAATGGGTGTCTACCAAGTTTGTTCAAATAAAAGCCCTGGGGTTTAAACTGGCCCCGCTCTGGGGGCCTATATACAGGTGAGCGACTTTAGGGCCATCATGGCCCTCTTGTTATATTATACATTTCTATTTCAGATTAAGGAGTTGATGAGTAAACATCCAAATGCTATTGGTAAACCATTAATGAAAGTTCGCCTATCTGACAAACAGTGGGATCAGGTGCACAAAATTAACACTGCTTTATGTGATGAATACAAAACTAGGAGAGAAATGATCCTTAAACGCCTTGATGTTACCATACAGTCTTTTATGTGGTCAGAGAAAGCTAAGGTACCCAGTGTTGTTTATATCATAGAGAAAATTTGTATAAAAAGTATCATAATGTGTTTCTTTGATCTTTAGATCTTTAGTAACTGTTATAACACTGTCATAATCTAATGATTTAGCAGATGTATTGTTGTTATGCCTTTACAAATTTTTTTTGCCATAACTTCATTAGATTTCATTGATATTAAATGTGTTTAAGAAGTCCAGGATTTTAAATGTTCTGTAGAGTTGTGTTAGAAATTTAGTTTTTTCCAAGATAACTATCATGAAAAAAATGTTGTTTTCTAAAGTTTAAAGGTGCATGCCTCCAGATGAGTCAAAATATTTCAAGAAAATCAAACTTGAGAAAAATGTATTGAAGTTTTATGAAAAGTAAAAAGAATGAAGATTAAAAGTAATAATTTCCATGATATTTTTCAGTAATTTTCACCATATTTCTACTGCGTGAGTAAGCAGTAAGGGCTAATTTTGCATATTTTGACCTCTTTAATGTACATGGGTTGTCAGTGCCGTTTGCAATGTACATATTATTTTCTTTGTCAGCTCCACAATATTTTACTTTTTATACATTTTCAAAATTTTAATGAAAATTAGCAGGAATCTGGAGGCGTGCTGCTTTAACAATATATTGTAAAGAATGATTTAATCTACAGGAGAAGTTTGTTGTAATGAAAAGTGTTTTAATTTCAGCAAAATGAAAACAAAATAGGAGAAGTATATCAACCAATCAGGAAAATATTAAAATCCACAACAGTAATTGGTGTACCACAGATTCTGTCTGCTAGAGATGGTATAAAATACTTACTGGTTAACCTTTTCCTGATAATTTTGCACTTTAAAAAAAAAAAAAAAACATGCATCTATTTAATTTGGTATATATTACCACTTATAATCATTTATTAAACAATGTTAAAAAGATATATGTAGACAGAATATTTTTAGCTCCACTTTTTGAAAAAACAGCAAATAATTGTCCTGACCCATGCGGTGGTGTCAGCTTTTTGTTTTCCTTTTCAGTCAACCTCTACGGTTAAGTTTTCATTTTTGGTCATTTACTTCAATACTAACTTTTATATTGAAACTTACTATTTGGATGCAAGAATAAAATCACTAAATAAGTTATAGCTCAAAACTATTCAATGTAAACAAATTTGCCAAGATGCCTTTTCTCATGTCGTTGTTATACATTATTGGCATTATTAAGATCATGTAATCTGCATGGATGAGATGTTTGACATTTCCAAATAGATACTGTAATATTTGCATGTTAGTTATTCCGATACATTTAACGATTTTCTTCTTCTGACTGTTCTTATTGTCATCGTGAAATCATAGTTCATGCTGATTAAGGTAACTATGATTATGTTATAAACAGAATATATATTTATATGGAATATTTTGTCATCTGACTTGAAATTGACCATATAACAGGCAGATTCATGTTATGTATTGGTGACCACTGGTACAGTTTAGTCTATAAATGTTCAATTGTGATTAAATACAGTGTATCTTTTATCAATTGTAACTTGTTTTCCTTTCATGGTTTCTTGTTTTTCACTATTGTGAATTTATGACATTTTACAGATTTACTTCGTATACAAAAAACAAGCAGTGGTTCAGCTAGAGAAGCAACAAAATGTGCAATAAATAGAGTACTAATTCCACGGGTTAGTATAGAATGAATATAGACATTCTTCATTCTCCAGAAGTATAGGTTATACAAGATTGAATTGTACAATACAGGAATATATTTGGACAAGTACACAGCTGGAGAAATCAGAACCAAGTGCAAGTCCACTCTGGTTTCTCAAGCTTTGTGCTATTCTATATTTGTCATATATTGAACAGAAAAATTTAAAGTTCCATTATTGTATATCCAAATCATATTGAGTAAAATGCAAGATGTGTATGAGGAAATGTTTGTCAAGTTTACTTTTTCAAAATGGTTCTTAAAAATGTAATTTGGATACTTTTGTCATTGATAGCTGTTATCATTGTTAGAAAAGGTGCAGTCAACCATCCAATATACTGGTAGGATACAGATGAGTCCAATACAGGAAATATATTGGATGGTGTTGTTAGCGGTGATATATATCAGATTTAATTTTGCTGGGATATTATTTTAAGCAAACAGCATAAATGTAACTCCTCTAGTCTTATTTTGTTTGCATTTCTTATTTCAAAAACAAATATCTTGAATTACAGATTTCAAAAACTCAGTAATTTTGAAATCCTGAAATGCAAAATAAAAAGAAAATTTGTTCAAATATGATACTGATACCTGGTCCAAAATATTTAGAACGCAAGAAAAATAGATGTGAATATACATGAAGCAAAATATTGAAATTGTAATTTTATGTCTAAGATGTAAATAATAACTGTGTTTTTATTGTAGGTACCGGATAGAGGAGGGCGGGCCTGGGAGTTAGAACCTCCCCCTCCAGAAATGCCATCTTTTATGAAGAGACAAGATGCTCCACAAGGTCAAAGACCACAATGTGCGTATATCTTACAAACATTTAAACTATATTTGCCCAGAAGTGAGCTGATGTATGTTTGCACAGCCCTTGGGATCATTTAGTTTATATAGACTTATATATGAAATTTCTTGTAATTGTTGTTGTGTAAAAGTACAACGCCAAGAGAACGTAGCATTGCCTAGTGCACCACTACTAAAGGTATATAAATTGTACCCCTGGGATGAAAATTGGCCCCAATTTTACATAGACATTTAAAGTAAACATACATGTACCTTAAAAATGTCCTCTGAAACTTAATGTCCAAAGCATAGATAATAGGCATGTAGCATCAGCTTGAAGTCCTGTAAAAATTTATATAAAACATGACCCTGGTGTTATTGTTTTCCACGCTTAGTTTATATGGACTTCATGTGTGAAACTACAATGCCCAGAGCTTACTTTGCAGAGTCTTATAAAGTGAACATATCTTTAAAATCACTGAATCTTCAATGCCCAGAGCATAGATAGTTGGCATAACATGTAGCATTGTTTAGTGGATTTCTATTAAAGTTACATTTGTATATCCAAAATGCCTCTTGGGTCAGAAATGACCTGACCTGGTAGTCTGTAGCTTTCTTTATTAAACAAAGGGAAACACATTTAAGTTTCCTGGTTGAAAATTTCAATGCCCAGAGCACAAGTTATTTTGCTAGTATCTCTACTAAAATTATATAATTTATACCTATTTGGTAAAAAATGAAACACACTAATCACCTTTTTAATTGAAGAATTATGACCTTTTCTATCAGTGTATCTCAGCTTTAGCGGGTGAGCAATCTAGGGCCATGATGACCCTCTTGTTTCTTTGCTATGCAATATTCAGTTTTGTTTAACAGCTTGAGGGCTTTAGTGATTATAATGAAAATGTTGCAGACTCATTTGTTCCTCAAGGCAGTTTAGATCCTGCATAAGTTTTTTTAATTTGTATAATGAGGAAAATGTTCCATATCAGTTTTAAGTTCTAGTACACAAAGTATCACAGATGGTCAATCTGTAAAAATATTGAGTTATATTGTGTATAAAAGAAAAAAAATTGTAAGAGGATATTTTTTCGTTTGCGTGAAATATGGAATATATTTTCACGAAGCATGATAAAATGCCACATATCTTCACGAGCCGGTACGGCGAGTGAAAATATGTGGCATTTTATCATGTTGAGTGAAAATATATACCATATTTCACGAAAAACGAAAAAATAACCTTTTTATTTAATTTCATTATCAAAGAAAATGGTAACGAATCCTCTTGCTTGCTACAAACTGCAATTGTACAGCGCGCAGTAATTTATACATAAGCACGCGCTGTTTGGCGCTACATTGTGACGTCATGTAAACAACTCTATAAACGTCTGTACAGCGTTAAATACTGAATTAAAGATATTGGTGTTCGGATTAATTTTCTTAGTTAGACCATTTTCTATCATGCTAGATAGTTTTCAAAACAAAATTCAAGAAAAAGTTGTTTTGTATTTATCAGATTTTTCAAACAAAACGGCGAAAGAAGTCCCTTAAAATAAATATGAGTTTTGACTCCGCCCACTTTCATATTTATATTTCATATTTATTTTTAAAAAATATGAAATATATTTGACTGATATAGCACCATATTTCATGGGTAAAATTAAATAATAAGAGGATATTTTTTCGTTTGCGTGAAATATGGAATATATTTTCACGAAACATGATAAAATGCCACATATTTTCACGAGCCGGTACGGCGAGTGAAAATATGTGGCATTTTATCATGTTGAGTGAAAATATATACCATATTTCACAAAAAACGAAAAAATAACCTTTTTATTTAATTTCATTATCAAAGAAAATGGTAACGAATCCCCTTGCTTGCTACCAACTGCAATTGTACAGCGCGCAGTAATTTATGCGTAAGCACGCGCTGTTTGGCGCTACATTGTGACGTCATGTAAACAACTCTTTAAACGTCTGTACAGCGTTAATAACTGAATTAAAGATATTGGTGTTCGGATTAATTTTCTTAGTTAGACCATTTTCTATCATGCTAGATAGTTTTCAAAACAATATTCAAGAAAAAGTTGTTTTGTATTTATCAAATTTTTCAAACAAAACGGCAAAAGAAGTCCCTTAAAATAAATATGAGTTTTGACTCCGCCCACTTTCATATTTATATTTCATATTTATTTTTTAAAAATATGAAATATATTTGACTGATATAGCACCATATTTCATGGGTAAAATTAAATAAAAATAAATATTCACTTTATAACCATAGCAATAAACATGAGTAAGTAAATATTTAACCCATTACTTCATATACACGCCTTTTAACGCCTTTTTCACCCCCCCCCCCCTTTTTGTTGTCTCAAATGATGAAAAAATGCCTTATTTAGGCCCTAAACACTTGTTTTTGTTTAAGAAATGTTGTTAAAAAAATTGACCTCTTTTTCGGCGCGGTCCCCCAACCAAAAGATACATCAGGGGGTTGCCAGAAGGGGGATGTGCCCCCTTCTGTTTTTGGGGGTTTGAAGGGGGGCGGAGTCCCCCTCATCGCCAAGAAAATTTTGGACTTGTGAGAGGCTGTAAATGACCCCAGATTGATCATAAGGTAACGTGTAACCAACGCTGAAAAGCATTTGACTCTATCTCAATCCATTGATAAGTTGCAGCACTTTGAAATCAATTTTGATGGAAAAAAATCAACGCAAAATAGTGATTTTTGGCAATTTTGAGATGTCCCCTCGTTGCCACGGTAACAGAAAATTTAAGTCTGAGCATGTTGTTGCAAGGACAATGGTCCAGTCAACATTTGTGCCAAGTTTGATGAGTGTTGAAGCAGTTTTTATAGTATTATAGCAATTTGAACTTGTAACGGGAGACTTTTCAATGAAAACAGCCATTTTTCACAAAATGCTCATGAAGCAATGGGTTAAAGGAAAATATGGTATGTATACCATCTTTTAAATTATAGACATATTTGTTGGAAACATTAACTGAATGATTTATATAACTTATGTTAACTTGTTTCAGCTGCACGAGGTGGTCGTGGAGGAAGAGGGGGAGGACAAGATTATCAAGGTGGTAGGGGAGGGAAGGTTCAAGGTGGTTGGGGAGACAGCAGAGGAGATAATGTTGGTGGAAACTGGAACCAAGGTGGAGGAGGGTATAGTCGCCCCCACACTGCAGGAGGTGGAAGTGGGGGAGGTTACCAGGGTGGTGGTGGAGGATACCAGGGAGGTGGAGGAGGGGGAGGTTACCAGGGTGGGGGTGGAGGATACCAGGGAGGTGGGGATACCAGGGAGGTGGAGGAGGGGGTGGTTATAATCAAGGTGGGGTGGTGGATATAATCAAGGTGGGGGTGGTGGATATAATCAAGGTTATAATGATAGGGGTGGGGGTGGAAGAGGAGGTAGAGGTGGGCGTGGAGGAAGGGGTAGAGGTGGGAGATATTGATGTTATTTATAATAAACTTGATGGAAGTGAAATGTTGTTATTCCCAGAAATGTGCTAAATGTTCAATATTATAAGTGCTTAACTGAGCATAATAGCTTGAGTAGTTTATACTGAAAACTATATACACAAATAATTCATTTACATATACATGTTCTGCTGACAGTACCAACTGAATATGAAGTAGAATTATAAGATATTGCTATTGTTAAATCTTATAATTGAATAAGAACTTTACCAGCAGAAGAACAACTTTTTGATGAAATGTATTCGAAATTTATGTATTTAAGTAATGATAATCATGTTTTATTAGTCCCCTACTGGTTTAACCGGAGGGGACTTTAGGTTTACCCTCCGTCTGTCTGTCCGTCTGTCCGTCCGTCTGTCAGTCCGTCCGTCCACAAAACTGGATCCAACGATAACGCAAAAAGTACTGAAAATATTTTTATGAAACTTGATATATGGATAGATGGCAGTATGGACATTATGCACGTCTTTTTTTTTCTTCCTATGTTGAAAATTCTGGTTGTTATGGCAACAAATAGTCTGAAAATATGGCAAATTTAACACATAAACTGGATCCAGTGATAACTCAAAAAGTACTGAAAATATTTTTATGAAACTTCAAATATGGGTAGATGGCAGTCTGGAGATTATGCACATCTTTTTCTTTTCTTCCTATGTTGAAAATTCTGGTTGCTATGGCAACAAATAGCCTGAATTTCAAGATTTCTGATTTAAATTTTTCAGCTTTTTCACTATAAGTTCTTTATTTCTTAAGGTGTTTACTTCAAACTTTAAATATAAGTTTCTGGCCATCAACCACATCATATGTGACAAGGTTTACAACTCTAGCACAAAAATTATCAGTATTACCTCCCTTGAACTTAGAATTTTTATGAAAAAAAATGTTGTCTTTTTTAAATAACTTCTTTATTTCCTAATGTATCTACTTCAAACTTCATATATATGTTTCTTATTATCACTCAACATTTTTGAGAAGGTTAAATACTCTAGCAAGACTATTTCCAGAATTATCTCCCCCTTGAACTTAGATTTTTTTCGAGAAATTGGTATTTTTCACTCCAACTTCTTCATTCCTTATAGGATTTACTTTAAAATCCCACATCATAATAATATGACAAGGTTGTTTAAACAGAATTTCCTTACTAGGCAGGGAAACTTAACACATTACTGTGATATAGACAAACTTAGAACTCAAAAGATTTAAGTTCATTCATGTCATTCATCCACTGGTAAAATTGAATGGCCAATGGCCCATCAGAATGCTGCTGGGGTTCTAACCGGTAGGGGACTTATGGATTGCTTGCAATACTATGATAATTGCTTGTTCCTATTGATCTTACCTTTTGTTTCAACATTGCTTATAACATTTGATTAATACTGCACTTTACAATGTTTGTTAAAGATGTGCATTTATTCTAAGGGGCATTAAAGTGTATTCATGAACCGTGATTGAAGTTTTGGTGATTGTGTGTCACAGATAATAAAAGTTGTGTCCTGGTAATATTCATTGTTGGTTTGTCCAACTTTATGACGGTTATACATCTATATGTCAAGATTTATAATTTCATTCATTATTGTAAATGACATGTAAGCAAACAAACAATACAGATTAACTCAAGAAGAACAACAACGGTACATGTTATGTATGTGAAATTTGTCAAATAGAGAAATTTTGAATGGCATTTTTTAACTGATGATATTTCAGGTATTACTTGCTTTTATCAAGTTAACATGTGAACTACATATTTGATTGATTTAGTGATATTAAAGTGATACATTTGTAGAGTGCACTTCTTTGTTTAAATGATTGATAACAGGTAACTAGGTGTTCATACTATATACAGCTTTCTAAATGTACTTAATTTGTTATGGACAATTGCAAATAAATTGAAAAATACCAGTGTTTTGTATTTATTGTGTTTTAATTACGTTTATAACATGCAGTTAGATATTTAGTATTGTAAAATGATCTAAGTTGATATCGTCTGCGTTATTAAAGACCTGAAGTGTTGTAGCCCCACAATCACACTATATTATCTTAGGTTTTCCATTTTATAGAGGCTACAGTTGTATTTTCACAAGCAATAGCTTCTCCAAAGTAAAGCTATATACTAATAGGACTATTAACCAGACCACTACCATAGTCATCTTAGATGATTTCTAATGTAGTACATATTATACCACATATTAGATTAATGTCCATTTTGAGAACTTTTTCTATCAGATCATTCTAAAATTAGAAATAATTTGATGGAAGAAGCATTATAAAACTCCAGTGATTAGATTTTAAGGGGAGGTAACTGGTCAATAAAAGTCGCTTCAACTCTATTTCAATATTTACATCCTGGGAAATAATTATAAAAAATAATAACATCTTAAAAGTTTACTGAAATCAGAGGGGAAAACGAAGATAAGTAGAACAAGTATGTATATTGTGCATGTAATCTTTTACAATTAATCAAATGTGTTAAAATGAAATACAGTTTGTTAAAACAACAGGCTGATTACATTTGTTTCATTTAAATTTAACTGGTCAGTATTGAAAATATAAAAAATAACTTTTATGTTGCACTGCAGTCGGGGATACAATAAACCAGTAGCAGGAGATTTTTAAAGCACGTTTAAATTTGAATATCATGGGACAAACCGTTGTTTCCTCCAGCCAGAAACTTCACATTCATGCTTAATTAGTACTGGTTGGTTTCAGGTGTTTCAATAAGCTAACAGCTTCCAAAACAATTGAACTTAAATAAATGTGTATAAACTAAATAAACATGCATAAGATCAATTCTTATTTCCTCCGCATTTATTTTATTTAATCTACCCATTATTTCTTTTGTAGCTGCATACCTCCAGATGAGCCAAATTATTTCAAGAAAATCAAACTTTTGGAAAACGCACTAAGATTTTAAGAAAAGTAAATACATGTGTAGATTCAAAATTCAAGTAATAGTTTATATCTTTTGTGCGATTATTGATTAATTTTGCAGTATTGATCACCATATTTCTACTGCGTTAGTAACCGGAAATTTTTCGACCCATTTTTTGTAATTCACGTGGATTGTAATTGCCGTTAGCAATATTTTAATTACTTTCTTTGTTCACTTAACAATATTTTACTTTTAAACACATTTTCAAAATTGTGAAAATTAGGATAAATCTGACGGCATGCTGCTTCCATTTATTTCTAATGTCCTTTAGGGAACATTACTCGTATTTACTCCGCTGAATGAAAATTTCCAATTACCTCCCTTGCGTGACTCCGGTGTATCCAATATAAACAATTGTATTCTGCTGAACAGTAGTAACATCTAGGGACATGTTTGGAATATTGGAAAATATCTCGGTGTCTGTTTACAATCAATGCTGTATTTCGTGTTTCAGTAAATTCACAGATAAGGACATACTTTTAAAAAATGGAAATGTGAATAAAAATTAAAATTAATGGCAAAATTCCTTGGTTTTGGTGAGTGATATTTGAGGATGGGCGGAGTCTGCAGTGCCCGAAGGATTCCTAGAAAAGTTCTTTTAACTGGACCAAGGGGATCAGGTGAACATACATTATTAATTATTCGACTACTTTCCGTTAAATGCACATACCGCATTCATAACGTGCTTAAACATGCGTGGTATATTGAATAACAAGTCAGTCTGATATAGACATGTAAATTGTATATACTGTATAGATAAACTTGTCAAATTGAAACCAAGATAAGAATGATAGTTCAGACTATTTGACAAACGATATACCGCAGCCCCAGAAAAATAAATTCTCAATTAATCGTATGATGACCCCAGCAGACGAACACATATAGAGCGGGAATTCTGTCTCAAGTTTTTTATTCTGATCAATAGATCTAGTGTAATGATAAAGTCACTCGTATTGTTTTAAACGACAAGCTACTGAAACACTGTACATAATTCCTTCAATTGGTTTTATCAGAGAAGTAGCTATAAAGTGATGTCAGACACCAACTAATTTGAAATGGACATTTTTTCTCTGCGTACGAAGTTTCTAAGTACAAGTGCATTTATTTCTAAAGCTATGTATTTAAGAAACATTTCTCTAGATTTATACTGTGAAAGTTTAAGATAAAATGTTCTAGCTAGTATTTTAACAATATTCGCTTGTGTACAAATAGAGACTTAAAAGCTTTTCTGTGACAGTATCAACAGAAGTTATTTAAATAAATTCTGAAATTACTCTTTCTCTGCTAGTAACGTCGTGTACAAACGCTTACTGTCAAAATACTCAAGTTGGAGATGAATATATTGCTGTTAAATGAATTCATTCAGTCATGTTTTACATGACTTTCGCACGACAACCAAGAGCAAAGTTGTGTCAATTAGATTTTGACTACATTTACTGACACATAATTTCACTCATCTGGATATGGGCAGCTTTAAACGTAATTTACTACATGTATATATATTTAAGCAGTTAGTGTTTCGCAATAAATAATTGCTTTTCTATATACATGTATCGTATATTACTTTCAGCTATTTCGACAGATTTGCTGCTATATTAATTTGAAAAGATTTTGTTATATTTGACATTAAAGCAGCACACCTTCAGAAGATATCAGAAAATCAAGACTACACTTGTACTATTATTTTAAGTGTTCTCTTCAAATAAATAAAATAGTTAAAAGAAATCAAAATCTCTTCAAGACGTGCATATTTTGACATTTTTGACAATCCGCTTTATGACTTGATATACCTTCTTTAATAAATTTTATCCGAGTTACTTTTAGTATTAAACGTAAAGGGGAAACGAATTAACTGCTTTAGCTTAGACATTTGTCGTTATTGATGGTAATTTAAAGTTATAGATAACACAGGGTGAGAAAAATGTGCAGCCTGACCGGGACTCGAACCCGGGACCCTCGGAATACCGTTCCGCGGCTCTACCGACTGAGCTATCCGGCCGCTTACACATTTTCTCCCCTAAACAGTGAACAGTTCTGAACCGTGACATACTTCACCACAATATTGAAATTCGTGCTACAGAGCAATGCTAATTGAACTCTGAGCTAGAGGCAGTCACAGTCCCCCGTTGGGCGCCAAATGTCACAGGGTGAGAACAATGTGCAGCCTGACCGGGACTCGAACCCGGGACCCTCGGAATACCGTTCCGCGGCTCTACCGACTGAGCTATCCGGCCGCTTACACATTTTCTCCTCTAAATAGTGAACAGTTCTGAACCGTGACATAGATGATTTAAAACATCATAGTGACCAGTGCATGTAGGTTTATTTAAAATTAAGATTTAAACTACAAAATACATTTGTATTAAATTGCTAAATTGTACATTTACAACATTTACATTTTCCACCAAAGGAAGACTGGATTAGAAAACAAGTGTAAACATGGTAAATACTGGTAATTATTAATACTTAAGAAAACTAATGTTGAAATTTGAGAGCTACACTAGCCTACCATTAACTTCTTGAAATACTTCTATAAAATATAAATAAATACCCACCCCACTGTTTTGGCACGTGAATATTATATATCGCCATCTGCATTAGTCGGAGGCCTGTGATGCAGTGGCAACACACGTTTGGGTTTTTTTTTATGCGTTTATTTAAGGTCGCCGCCGGAAAGCCCATATGGGCGACCGTACACTCAAGTCGGGCCATCCTAGAGCGTCCGCCGAGATTTTTCGTCGATTTTTTTCCAGCTTTATTGGTGGAGGAAGACCCCAGGTGCCCCTCCGGGCATTATTTTAGGCACGAGCAAACCTGGGTAGAACCACCGACCTTCCGTAAGCCAGCTGGATGGCTTCCTCACATGAAAGATTTCGACCCGAGTGAGGATCGAACCTACAGCGGTGAGGGACCTGTGATCTCAAGTCAGCGACCTTAACCACTCGGCCACGGAGGCCCCCGACACGTTTGGGAAGTTTGGAGTCAAGCTATATAAAAACGTTTTTGTTGTTGTTGTTGTTGTCTTTAATTATTTTTGTTGTTTGTGTTTGTCTTTTTAAGTGATATGAACATTTGTTCTCAAAAATGTATCAAGATATGCAAAGGTAACAGAATGGTTGTGTTTAAATAGCAAATCAAAACAAAAGAACAGAAATAATATGTTGTTTGCATATGATATTTTAATGCAAGTTAGAAACTCTGGCCAAGCAAAATTCCATATTCATCAGATTCAAACTCTTATAGCTAAAAGTCGAGATGGTAAATGTGTTTTATATTTTTACAACTTGTTTCTACTTGTTTATTTAGTTAAAGCCGTATATCAGATTCCCTACACATGGATTGCTGGAACAGATTTGCCATTCATGATTCTGTCGGTCGCAAACACCACTATATTTTTAAGATTTTATATACCATATAGTAAACCAAATAAAATACAGCTTCATTTTGATGCTGTGCATAAAATATGTCTTGTTAAACGTTTGTAACGCACTTTCTTTCAGGGAAGACAACTCTATTATATTTTTGGTGTCGGAATATGATTACAGACACGTTACCTACAGAAAGTTTTAATGTAGAAACAGTAACACGACCTAGGATAGGTCCTCTACTCATCTGGGACGTCACAGATACATCACGCAGACGACAATTCTTCCACGGAACAGAAGGTCAATATAAAAATTTATACAAAGAAATATTTGCATGTCTGCAATATTGAATAGGCAATTTAAAAGTTCGAAGATGTAAGAATATTTGTGCCTGGCAAATCATACAATAAGAAAAATCATTATTAATCTTGCAAAATGCTAGGAAGACTTTAACAAACACATGATCGCGTGCACCATTCTGTTCAGGTGATACATGTATTAATCTGTTCTTACAGTGAAATAGTACTAAGGTAGAACATTCTGCAACGTGACAATCGATTGTCAACGTATATATATGTTTAACCGCCTATTAACATTTTTATTAACGAGAAAATTTTGCTAATTTGGTTATCAATTTACAGTTATAACATTAACATTTCTATTTGATATATTAAGATCCAAAAGAAAGCTTGTTACATTCCTCAGTCTCTTCGCATCGGAAATTTTTTATACTGTTACCACCCCGAGAAAATTCTCATTTAGATTCTACCACTTATCAATGAATCTAGTGATTCCATAATAATTAGGCAATATGCGAAGAATCTCAATTTAAACTTCCTGCAATTTCTTCGATATATCGTAATTTTGTCAACACCTAGACGATATATAAATGGTGGCTATTCACTCATTAGGTGTCCACTAGAGACGCTACGTGTATCTATATAATGGTCATTGTTTATCATGTAACACTATATGTTACATAAAGCTTTTAAATTTTACAAGAAGACTAAATTGTTGCAGGAAAAAAACTGCTGATTATTGATACAATGATCTTTTGGGTTACTTACCTATCATTTCATTCTTTCATTTCAAAAATGACCTAAAGTTGTATATTTCATTTTGTTTGGGGCTTTCCAACGAAGAACTCTTATCATCTATCTGTACATTAATTATCTTAAGTATGAGAGGTTTGTCGAGTACAACCAGAGGTCTTTTGAAAGCTAGCTAGAGTCTTCCGTGGTCTTGGACTTTAAAATTATTATATATCGTCTATTTTGGTCCAGAGCGTGTCATAAAGGTATCGATGGTAGAATCGAAAACATATGGACAATTTGCAAATTGAAGTTTTCCAAGACACATTTTAGCAACCCCGTAGCGATCTTACTCAGCAATATTGCCGGATCGAAACCTTTTCCGGACCTGGCGGTGAAAACGAGTCATTGCAATTGTTATACTGGGTCTAGAAGGGCCTGGATAATCAAGAATCGTCTTCAGCTGCTCTCTTCTCTGCCATACTTCTGACGGTTGTACCATACAGCTGATACCTTGTCCAGGCTTTACCGGTGTCAATGGTGTGATATACACCATGCGCTATAGCTACCTCATTCTGTGCTCACCTACTCCTTAAATCACTACAGCCCTCCACATATCTGCTACATTCAAATGCCGTCTTATCAGAGTCTCGCCTTTTAATGACCATAATTTTGTTATTTACCGGTGTATACGGACAATAACGTGTCTCTGCTTCAAGTACTCCGTGGCAAGACCTTTCTGATATAACATCATGCATTTAGCTTTATTTAGCTTTGGTACCAACTCAAAACTTTGCTGTATCAAACTATGCAAAATAGATAATTACATTAAAAAAAGAACTTTTCATAATATAGTGAGAAACATTTGGTGCTCAGCAAACGATGAGTAATATCATTACCGGTATATAGCAAAATAGGAAGGTTAGAATAGCTGATGACAACATTTATGCATTATATGATTTGTATATAATCGTTTTGTCTCCAATTAATGTCACATAATTATAATTTGTTTAACAAATAAGAAACAATCTATATTGCAGCAATTGTGTATGTATTTGAAGGAGGTAATGAAGCAGAGATGAACACGGTCAAGAGTGATCTGACCAAACTTCTCAGTGACAGAGATTTACACAATTTACCTCTTCTTCTTGTAGTCAGCAAGCAGGATCTCAATGGTACTATATTTTCTTTCTACTTATACCTCTGATGTCAATGGTACTACATGTATTTTGTTTCTACTTAGGCAGGTTAAGAATGTATCAATGGCGCTATAAATACTTTTTTTTACTTTAGCGGTTATATTGTCTTTGTACAGTGGATGACAATGAAATTAATTTTCTTCTTATGATCATGGAAGCTAAAAAGTACAATATTGTCCTCATGCTACAATTTTATGCATGTTTGAGCTTGTATACCAAACATAAATGTCATATTCTACAACTGTTACTACTGAAACAAGACATGCTTTGTTTTATTTCTTTGCTTCAGACATGTCACCGAAGAAAGCAGAAACTATTCTGAGCATATTAAATCTAACCGACCACAGGCATTATGCGTGCGTACGAACAAGGAAAGATGATCCTGAGACTTACAAGCAAGCGTTCAGACATCTTGGTGAAATAATACACCTTGATTCAGCTCTCTGAAAGTGAAAGCCTTTTATAGTATACAATATCGGTCAGTCACGCGTTCGGTATTTTGATCCACAAAAACGTGGTTAGTTATTATCAACAACACAGAGAAAAACGTTATAAAGAGCGAAATATGGGAATAACATTCCATCACTAAGGGCAGAATGTATATTTTTCGAATGACTTAAGTTATACAAGTATTGAAAGACAATATCAAGGAGAGTGTTTATATGGGATAATCTTTACACTTTATAAAAAAGTATGTGTGTAGGTAAAATGCCATATTAACGGTAGAGGAAGTGCTCTGTCATTTTTCACGCAATCAATCACTACATATGTCTTTGGAAAAAATAAGTTATTTATTTTAAAGTATGGGATTAGCATGACTTCTGTATCTGTCGCTCAAACTGTGTTTTACTGTTACATGTTCAGGAAAATATATATTTTGTAACTTCGTAAGTTAGAGTTTTTACTGCTCGGTGTAAAAATCACTTTTACATGACGAGTAAGTCTGAATTCAGCTGTTAGTTAAGTCACGGATTTACATTACAATGTGATGTAAATCCGTGGTTAAGTCATTTTCTGTATGCCCTTTTGGCATTATCTTTTTGATTTTATGTAACTTTGCTTTGACTGTAAAAAACAAACGTATGTGCTTTTAATGGTGCTATTTTATTACCCCTCTAATGGTGTAGCTTATAAAATTCAAATATGTCATGTATTTAATTTGTTCAGACAGCATAATTCATCTTAACATGCGATTAATTCACTTTTAAGGTTTTTTTTGTAAACAGTTATTGTACGGAGGTAGATATTGATATAATGTGTTTGGAATAAGCAGTCATCGTAGAAGATTAGTTTACTTATTGTATTTGTTTTATAATAAATTCATGTATATGATACTGTTTACAATAATATTATAAGTATCGGACAAGCAGCATTATACATGTATTTATAATGTTTTGTTATTATATGTTGAAATTTATTTATTGATATACCACCATACATGAAGTGTAAATATCTACCGATCTTTCAAATGCTTTTTAGTACGTACTTTTTGGTTTGCCATAATATATGTACATGTACTTTGTTAAATTTCTTAAATAAAATGTGAAAACATGATTTTTTTCTTGATGAAATAACATTACAACATGACACTATCACATACTATCATATGTTTCAATATTTTGTTGATTCAGTCGGAATAGTTATATTTATGGAGATGTCCACAAGATGTTCGTTTTATTATTTTTCAAAGATGAATTGAAAGTGACAAAAATACATTTTCTTTCGTTGGCAGAATACACAGTCTTTGCCCGGGAGTTTCGCCAACAATTCTGCCAGTTTTAATTCTTAATGGTAATAAGAATGTTACATTATTATATAGCTACGTGCTTTGTTCAGGAGTGAAACGTTAAGTAAAAAAGAACCTACATATGAACGGAAATCTGTATAAGGTTCAGCGATGATGTGCCTGTATAGCTATGCATTTGCCATGAATTCCAGTGTTTTAACACAACGGTTAGAAATGTTTAACGACCAATAAATACAGGCTAGAATACATACTGTAAGAAAAATTGTCCTAAAACGACTTGAACCTCACGTGAAAGTTCAATATTATATACATGTACAGAAGTGTTGAATAAGTAGGTACCTACACTGTATATAGAATGGTCATGTATATATGATATACATTTCTGATTTAAATAACAAGTGTTCTACTACTGATGTCGACATAATTGATAAAACTGTTAGCTGGAAAAATCTCGAACACATTGGTCTAAATGGTTACATATTTCGTGCTCTCAAATCTTAATATAACAATGTCAAATGTGGGGTACGTGTAAATGAGCATTTGACGTTAAAATCGGCTTAAAACCGGAGTGTTTGATCATCCCGCAATTCAATATGTACATAAACGATTGAAGTAGCACATTAGAACCTATCATAATTATGTCGGACATGCTTTCACTATGTTAAAGAAATAAAATAAAAAGAAGTACATGTAGAATATGTACTATATAATGAGACCAGACCAGAACTCATATCACCCATAACAAATAGCTGGAAAGGATTTTCTGATTATAATGTTTCTGAAATGTTCGTATATCACCGAAGAATATTGTAGATACATGTCACAAAATACTGCAATAATGTTTAGCCGCAAGAAGAAAAAAATATTTTACTCATACTTTCATAGAAGATATTTACGGAAGCGTCCTGGTGCCAATTCATAATGTTCTATAAAAAAATAAACTCCTACGTAGGAGATAAAAAAGCCTAATTAGGAGTTTGTAACTCCTACGTAGGACTTTTAAACTCCTACGTAGGACTTTGTAAGTCCTACGTAGGACTTTATAACTCCTACGTAGGACTTTATAAGTCCTACGTAGGACTTTGTAACTCCTACGTAGGACTTTATAAAAAAAGCCTAATTAGGAGTTTATAACTCCTACGTAGGACTTTATAAGTCCTACGTAGGACTTTGTAACTCCTACGTACGACTTTATAACTCCTACGTAGGAGATAAAAAAGCCTAATTAGGAGTTTGTAACTCCTACGTAGGACTTTTAAACTCCTACGTAGGACTGTGTAAGTCCTACGTAGGACTTTATAACTCCTACGTAGGACTTTATGACTTTATGAGAAATGCATACAGAATGCTTTGCAAATCTCAACATTCCGGACCGGTATATCGGCGAAGGAACAAGACACTCTCCCCCCCCCCCCCCTCAAATCTTAAATATAGAGGACATTTCACCTTTGGTTCATACAAAATTTATTTAAGTTTGATTGTGTAGGAAGCTATAAGCTTATAGACACACTTTCGAATCCGTTCCTGGAACCAACCAGTACGTACTTAGCAATGAGTGTAAAGTTTCTTGCTCAAGGAAACAACGGCCTGCGCCTAACGGGGTTTGAACCCATGCGGCTAGCGATCATTAGGCTACTAGTCACACAGCCATGCCGAAACACTTCACCTTTTGATAAAGTGTCTCAGGTTTCTAGAGTGTACAGTGTCTTAGGATGAGGTGTCTGTAAGCATTGGCGATGTATCCCGAAAAATTGCTTTACAGCTATTCGAAAAAAAACTTACTCGACATCAAGCATATATATCAAAATTTTAAAAGGCTTTAATGATTACGATTTCAATACGAACTAGCTGAACAAAACGAGCAATTTATCCATATTCGGCCGTTTCAAATGATTAAATCCTAATAGGGGGCAGGGGGGTAGTGAAGTGTCTTGTTCCTGCTCCGTAAAGTTTAAGAAGATAACGGTTTGCGGAGCATTATGCATGCATATGTTTAATAATGAATAACACTGTATATCCTACTTTGAACAAAGTTTAACCCATACATTTTGTGTACATGTGTATAATAAATATAACTAAACGTACATAATACAGAATCATCGTTTGATATATGCAGAGAATGACAAAATCATCTCTGGCTAGAGACTAAAGGTATTTACTAAAGTGGCTTGCCACAATTACAACTTGACACATATGAGCCGCGCCATGACAAAACCAACATAGTGGGTTTGCGACCAGCATGGATCCAGACCAGCCTGCGCATCCACGCAGTCTGATCAGAATCCATGCCATTCGCTATCAGTTTCTCTACTTGTAACAGGGTTTGTTAGCGAACAGCATGGATCCTGATCAGACTGCGCGGATGCGCAGGCTGGTCTGGATCCATGCTGGTCGCAAATGCACTATGTTGGTTTTATCATGGCGCGGCTCATATAATTTATTTTCCTACATAATATGCTATCTTAAGTTATACTCTAGCATACATGTCCGTCGAACTCTGTACTTTCAGTTCTTTGATATGTATTATACGTAGGAGTTATTAAGTCCTACGTAGGAGTTTAAAAGTCCTACGTAGGAGTTTTAAACTCCTAATTAGGTTTTTTTTATCTCCTACGTAGGAGTTATAAAGTCCTACGTAGGAGTTACAAAGTCCTACGTAGGACTTATAAAGTGCTACGTAGGAGTTATAAAGTCCTACGTAGGACTTACAAAGTCCTACGTAGGAGTTTAAAAGTCCTACGTAGGAGTTATAAACTCCTAATTAGGCTTTTTTATCTGCTACGTAGGAGTTTATTTTTTAATAGAACATTATGAATTGGCACCAGGACTCTTCCGTACCAGGACGCTTCCGTACTGTCAAGCTTAGTCAAAATTGGTTGTATATTAATGGCGATAGAACAATAATTGATAATTACAAATGTTCACGATAAAATATAAAACTGCCTAACATTTTAAATGACTGTCCCACTTTTTTTTATAAATTGAACATTACCGATAATTTCTGAAGGATACAGATATCTATTTCTTGCATATCAGACAGGATTATCTACCGTTTTCACCGGTGCTATACACCCCTCATGTGAGACAAGTCGCATGCGTTAAATGACGTCATTGACGCGCGCCTTTTAGGAATGAATCGCGTTCTTATGATGACGTAATTTTTCCTTATGAATGAACGCTACTATAAGAAAAAGTGCGTAATGACAATATCAGTTTTCATAATTCTGTTCCGAGAATAATTGACATGCAATTTGCAAGAAAAAGAATCAAACACTGGCTGTCGGTGCAGACGGGAATATTTAACTCTCGGGTAACTGTTTAGTAGAAACTCGGCAGAGCCTCGTAACCGCTGTAAACAGTTACCCTCGAGCTAGATATTCCGGTCTATTTAAGATTCTTATAGTGGGAAACGGGGGTTATTGGTTACTTAGGTGACTTTTATTAAATCAAAGCACAGAAGGCGCTGAATTTGTTTGGGTCTCAGAATGTCAGAAAGGTGAAGGTTGTGAGATTATAAACCAATTTGTTTTTGTACAGTGCCACCAATGCTTTCCAGGGTTTTAATTGTAGTAAATTGGCTATAAGACTAATTGCAACACTGATATTCAATCCAATGTTTATTTGACTTAAACAATTTGAAAAAAAATGAGTTGCCAAAACTGGGATTTGAACTCCAGACCTCTCGCTACCAAAGTGAGCGCGCAAACCCCTCGGCCACGGAGAATTTATATGTTAACGGCTGAAGAAAACCATATTATTCTAAATAAGGGTTTGTAACGACGCTAACTGTTGTTTAACACTTGTGTTAATAATCATGGCGCTTACTATAAGCATATATATCTATAAAGAATAAAACAATATTAGAAATCTTCGGCCATTCAGGAATTATTTTGCTTGAAAATTAATGCGCCTGTCATTTGACCATCTTTACGCAGTGATCTCCCCTAAATTTTTCGGCGTTAGTGTACATATATAGGGAAGTAACCGCTTAAAAAAAGCGGACTACTTTCGGCATTTGCAATTAACAGCATTAGAGTCTGAAATTTCGCTACCATTATTTGTTTGGTCTGACGACCCAAACAAATAAAAATTGAAAATATGACGAAATGTAAACTTATTATATTTTAATCTGAACACTCACCATTTACTCTTGGATGGGCATAAATTCACTTTAAACAAAAATGTTTTAATTAAATGTATTTATACATTTAAAGTTTTACAAGATTAAAATGTGTACATGCAAAGTAGATCTAATATTCACTACATTGCATAGTGTCTTTAAGTTTATTGGTTTTTTAACGGTTTTATATACATTGATTCTATATTGCAAATAATATGTGTAGAAGTGAAGCGATCCTGTAACACAATTTTTCATGGTTTTTTTATCATAAATATAAGGCTCAAATTAAGATTTATCAACGTTGTAAGTTCCAAAACACATTATTTATAAAGATATTACCGAATTTAACATTTCATGTAAATAATGGAAGGTAATAAAAAATTATTTTTTATAAAGTCAATTTTTTCATGCTAATATTTTGATGATTACATATAATATGTACACATATTTGCAGTACATATTTTACATATTCTTCGGTGTTTGAAAATTGTTTTATAAGCATAATTATATACATATGCATGTATATAATTTCACGTAAGTGTGGTACGCAACCTCAATTACAACATACAGGATATTTAAATAAAATGGTTGTTACTGTTATAACATATCATATGTTAATGCAATGCTATTTGTTATCATGGACGCATATATAATAGTGTTGCAATATTTATTTTTAGCTCTATTTGACATTGAACATTGTTAGGCGATGTATACAAGCAATTATATAAAGTACGTTTTTTCCACTGTTTTATATTGCTATTCAATGACGTTTCATTGACCTTTTAACAAGCGTTGCCTTTTTTGTTCTCATTCTAAGAACCATTTCTGTAGGGGGAATAATGTCCGAATATTAAGAAAAGCTCTTCATTTTGACATTCTTGTCCCACATCAAACAGTGTCTATACATTTGTGCATAATAGTTTGGTGTGCTCCTTTGAGATTAATGTAAAGGAGCTAGTAGTATTAAATATTAAGCGCACACAAATGTTTTGATAACACACTTAAATAATTATACATAAATTTATTACTTTGCATACAATTTGGACGTCATCAAACTACTTTTTTTGTGTAAATTGTTACCTCTATAGATTTTGTTGTTCCTGGACACAAGCCAGAGGAAACAACTACATTAGAAGACGATTTATAGATTTAAAAAAAGAACTTTGATTAACAGAGGGAATAACTATTTAAAATACCAGCAGAGAGATGAGTTTAATCGTGAAACACTGTAAAATAACTCGGTAGTTTCGAAGTTTTCATCGTAAAAACTTGTGTATATCAAAATCCACTTAGTATTTCCGTTTTATTTTTCCGTCGCGGCTTCACATTTTGTAATACTTAATATGTAAAAGTTTGTCAATGAGTTATTAACATCTATAATATTTTACAATAATTGACGGAAATATGTTAATGGAAAACGTTATTACTGTAAATGTATTTATATTTTTTGTGTAGATACACATAATTGCATTAATTCATCACATGAAGCGATAAGTTAGAAAAAGATTGTCCGAGTGACCATCAAAATCAGAATTTCTAGAAGATAACAGACGCGGCTACATGAATAAGTCGTAAAAGAGCAGGGAATATCCATACTAACAATAAGAGGACGGTAACACGAACAGGTTGTGCATAGAATAGCCAAACCAAAAATTAGAGGACGGTAACAAGACCAGGTTGTGCACAGAATAACCAAACCAAAAATTAGAGGACGTAACACAAACAGGTTTTGCACAGAATAGCCAAACCAAAAGTTAGAGGACGGTAATACGAACAGGTTGGGCATAGAATAGCCAAACCAAAAATTAGAGGACGGTAACACGATCAGGTTGTGCACAGAATAGCCAAACCAAAAATTAGAGGACCTAACACGAACAGGTTGTGCATAGAATAGCTAAACCAAAAATTAGAGGACGATAACAAGACCAGGTTGTGCACAGAATAGCCAAACCAAAAATTACAGGACGTAACACAAACAGGTTGTGCACAGAATAGCCAAACCAAAAGTTAGAGGACGGTAATACGAACAGGTTGTGCATAGAATAGCCAAACCAAAAATTAGAGGACGGTAACCCGACCAGGTTGTGCACAGAATAGCCAAACCAAAAATTAGAGGACGTAACACGAACAGGTTGTGTATAGAATAGCCAAACCAAAAATTAGAGGACGTAAAACGAACAGGTTGTGCACAGCATAGCCAAGTCAGAAATTTAAGACGATTAGAAATAACAGCAACAAAACCAAGTTGTAGATATGTACGGAACGCTCTAAAAAGTAATTCTTATGCAGTGGATTAGAGGGATGGGCATTAACAAGACAAAGTTGTATAGGTGTAGAAAACAGTTAATCTAAAATGCAAGAAGATTAGAGGGACAGAAACACAAAGAAGCTGTACATTTGCAAGAAGCAATGATGAGTGCTATTTATTTGTCATTATTTTTATGTGTTTTACCATCAGCAATTTCAAAAACATACTGCCACAAAGAAAATAGTGCCACTTTGAAATGTAATTACTTTCCAAATGAACTCCCAGAGAAGGTTTCTCGTGTTATTATACACAACTTTAGGAAATTTGATGAAAATCTAGTTGTAAATGGGTCATTTTTTGCAACAAAGAATTGGAGATTTGTAAAATATTTGGAAATAAGTGACGAATCAGTAGTCTCTGGTACATTAACATTGGATACAGGTTGTTTTAGTCAATTAAAGGTGCTTGCAGAATTACATTTACATTTAGCTTTAGCTGGTTTCATTTTATCTGCTGACGCTTTTGTTGGAGCAAACTCAGTCAGAGTATTAAATATGAGCTCATGCTTCAGACTGGATATGCAAGATTTCTTAGCCAGTTTAAACGGAACAAATAAATTAAGAAATCTTAAAGTGTTAGCAATATCAAGGCTGGGTCATTACATAGGACCACTTGTGGTTGATTTAAACTTTGGAAACATCTTACAAACGAAACGAGTAAGAGAAATTGAAATCATCGCCTCAGAAATATCTTATTTGCGTCTTAGCATTTTTGCTTGTGTTAAATCTTTAGAAAAATTCAATGTTTCTCATTCACAACTTAGTCATGCAGATAACAAAGGATTCAATATCAGTGATCTTTCATCGTTAAAAGTTATAGATTTAAGCTATTTGGAACTCCCAAAAACTGCCATGCCTCCTCCTGGAAAATTAGTGTTATCAAATGAATATTTGACAGATGAACGGATTATTAGTGTGCTCAGTGGTATACTGACAATAATAAGTGTAAATGGGACATCAATTTTCCCGAAAACAAATTCTATATGGATTATTAACTGCACGCTCCCAATCAACAAACCTTTGCCTATTCACGGGCGAGAATTGGTCATTAAGCAAAATAATCTGAGACATTTCGACTTACGGTGCACCAACAATTCGATTTCAAGTATTGAAGTGGTAGATATTTCAGGAAATGGCCTCCAGTTCTTTACTCCGTTTGCTGCAACATGTTTACCTCAAATTAAAATGCTAGACTTTACGAATAATCAATTATTCATAATGGAAAAGCAAAACATTTCATTATTCGCAAAGCTGGCTGGATCTTTTAGTTATTTACAGTTTATTAGTTTTTCAGCAAACAATTTACAGACAATTCCTTACAACATGTTTTCGAACAATTCTGCCCTGGAGGTCATAGACCTTTCTTTTAACAAACTTCAACAGGTAACTTTCAGTTTGGAACATTTATGCAAACTGAAAACTTTAAACCTAAGAAACAACTTAATACACATTTTGAATGATCTCTCAATCGACCGTCTAAACTCTATACCTGATAGTTCTTACCATAAAAAGAAGAACGCAACTGTTATTCTTGCGTCAAACAGCATTTCATGTTCCACATGCAACGCAAAACATTTCATCCAATGGATTCTCACAACCAATTATGTCAATATAACATCGCAAAACCTGAAATGTCTAGATAATGATGGTCGAAAAACTGACATCAGTGAAAAGACAGTGCAACATTTAGAACACTTATGTAACTTACTCTTGTACATTATTTCATCATGCTCGTCTGCCATTCTCTTCATTCTCATAATCGTTGCATTTGTTTATAAACTATACAAAAGGCGGTTTCTTATAAGACAAAGGGAGCATAGATATAATGTAATTGAGCGTCTCCGTGTTGGTCTTCACCAATACAAATATGCGTGTTACCTTGTCTATTCACTTGAAGATAGCGGTAACGAAGAATGCGACAGTGAACAAAGATATATGATCGACAGTGAACACTTTATGAATCGAGAATTTGTAGAAAATTACTTTATTGCACCCCTTAAAAGAAACTTACAACATGAAATAGGAGCAGAGAGACAGTTGGTATGTTGCGACGAAGATTCTGATGGAGGCCGCAGTGATTTTGATGTGTTCTTCAATAATTTAGCATCATCGTCGTCTGTCGTCGTTATTGCTTCAGAGAAATTCTTCAGTAATGCGTTATACTGTTGGATGTTGGAACAAGTCATTGCACAGGAAAAACAGATCATATTTTTGATTGAAGATGGTATTGGTATAGCTCATAAAATAAGGAAGGAAGAAACTAAAAGAATTTTTAAGAATTGTAAAAAATTTAAATGGAAAATCGAAAATGGTGAATTGATCTTAAAGACTTCATGGAATGAAGTGTGTCTAGCCATTTTTGACGGCACGTGTTTATCAGAAAATGATAACTGAAGGATCGTATTGTGTATATGGTCTCTTAATTGAAACCGTCAATATCTTAATATCAGTAACTAAATGATAGGTATTTGTCAGGATCCTCTCTCGTTTTTGTACATATATGTTCTCCTGCTAATGTAAATATGATCTGCTGTTATTGAAGATAAGATTTCTTGTTATTGTCAATGTAATATCTTGTTAGTGTAAATATAAGCTCTTAATTGTTATTGTAAATATAATCTCGTTTTGTTATTATAAGTATAATCTCTTGTTATTGTAAGTATATCAATCTCTTGTTATCTCTTGTTATTTTAAATATGATTTTTTGTTATTGTCAATCCCAGCAAACACAAGACGTCAGACCAACGTCAGATTTAAGTCAGGTTCTGACGTCGGATGACGGTCGGAAAAACGGTTGGATTTGAAAGTTTTTTTGACGTAATAATCTGACGTCAGGTAGACGTCAGAATCTAACCATTATTTAACCTTTTTCTGACCAAAATCTGACCATTATCTAACCATTTTCCGACCGCAATCTGACCATTTTCCGACCTAAACCTAACCAGTTTCTAACCATTTTCCTACCTCAATCTGACCATTTTCCGACCTAAAGATTAACCCTTTTCTGCCCTAAATCATTTTCTGACCTTCATCTGATCATTCCCCTAATCTTTTTTGTTTCACCACGTCATAAATATTTTCTGGCTAATCATGATATGATCGAATTTAATGTATCTCATTCTATTAAGTAACTTTCCCTCCAATGAAATGTATAACAGAAAACTAAAAGCAAAAATATGTTTTATGCTTTTTTAATTTAAAATAAAAGTTGCAATTTTAAGCTGATACATACAATTTTAGTAAATTCTGCAAGGTTAAATAATTTTCATAAATTAAACAAAATAAAACATAAAATAAGTTAATTACAAAACAAAAAGTATTACAAAAACAATGACATAAATGAAACTAAGAAAACATGTACACATATTAAAGAACAAAACAATGTATGCACATTTCTATCAAAGTTTGCCTTATCAAATAAAATAATGAAAATATTATAATTTAAGAAAAGTTAAAAGATTCTGATAATAATGTTTCAAGCAATTAATGACAGATTTTCAGTATTTTAACTATATTTCTACAGCATTTCTAAAACATTTAGTGCCATTTTGCATATTTTGATCTCCTTTGATAATTGTCAGTAATGTATAAATTGCTGCCTTTTAGTTACTTCACAAAGTTATACTTTTAGATATCCATGAGAATTAGCACGAATTTTGAGGTGTGATGCTTTAAGATATGACCTTCTTTCAGCACCCCTCGTCTGTCCGGAGGATATGTAGCGTTTGTAGCGTCCAATAGCGTGTGTGACATCATTTTCACTGAAAAAAAAAATTATGAAACATGGAAAAATAACAAGCAAAAATGTTTTCATGGTTATCTTAACTTAATGAACAATTTTGCCAACTTTTTATAAGAGAGCTTTAACAAAAATTAAAAGTAAACATAAATACTGAACATTTAAAAAGCCGCTTTTAAACTCCAGTTTAGTATGGATTAAAGTATGTAATAGAATTTACAAAAATCTTACTTTCCTATGTTTCTTTTTACATATTCACGTGTTTCCGTCCCTCCGGCCTTTGAGAGCATGTCCAACACTTTAACTACCTGAAAAGAAAATTATATTCTAACTTATGTATATATTCTACGTTTGAATAGAACAGTTACGCAAATCTTAAATATTTCATAGTTTTAAATTAAAGATTTAATGCCGAAATGTCTGGAACCAAAACGTCTTGGGTTATTTGGGACAGGAACGTTTTGGGTTATTTGGGACCGAAACATCTTGGTCCGAAATGCTCGAAATCGTACAAATTCATTCTCAATGCTCAGATTTTAACTGACAAAAACATCACAGTTTAAGAAAAATATGAAAACTAAGCATTCTCTTTGATAGTACTGAAAGGTATATTATAAACTCTTCACAAGCAGAGTTAAACCATGTCAATTTTAAAAAGATTTATTATTAGACATTATCGCGAATTTGTGTGACATTTTACTTCAGCTGTTCAAATAATGATAATTAAATTTAAGAGTGCTTGCAATCATGCAATTATTTATCAAATACAAAGTAAAAATAAATCTAAATAAATTGAACTGACCTTTTTGTTCAAGAAAATCTATAATATTCACTTTATCAATGCATCCCGATTCCTGACCGACAGCCAAAACGTAACGCCTACGAATTTGAATTTCCATCCACGTGACTTTAGATTCGAATTATAGGTTAATTATATTTTCTTTCCCCTTTATGTCACTATGATTAAATGTTAAAGCATTATTTAAAAAAACTCGTGACTTTGATACATATAATGTACCACAAATGATAATATTATAACGTTAAATGATTGGAACTGGTAAACAGATATGTGGCTATAAATAGATTTCATAACAATAACACATGTAACTTGCCTATATACAGCGCCACCTATATGTTTTATTAGGTTGCAGCGCCGCGATCTTGGTCTGTATTTATATAAGAACACTTCATTTGTAATCCAAATAACATTTGAAAAAAAGTTTAAATGATTACAACAGCGAATAAGGATTATTTTTTGTTATTTTTTTACCTCTGTCAGGACACTGACCAGAACCTAACGTTAGTACGACGTCAAAAAGAAACGTCTATTAGACATCGGTATTTTAACGTCAGATTTACGTCGTATTTTGGTCGCCGACGTCGTGACCAAAATCTAACATTAATCCGACGTTATTTTAACGTCATGTGTTTGCTGGGATGTAATCTATTTAGTGTAAATACATTCTCCTGTTAGTGTATATACATGATCTCTGACGATAATCATCATTTAAATGTCAGTAAATTCACCTCCCTAAATATACATGTAATGTAACTATGCTTTTTTAAAGTATTGGTGATGCTGGACAACTTGATAGTTATATTTTCACTTTTGTTTACTATAATACGACTTTTATTTTAATGAATAATCCTCTTGTGACGTCACAGTAAAACCTTTATGTCCATCATTACCGGTTAATTCATGTTATAAACATTCAGTCACAAAAACATCATCAATAATAACGTTGCTACATAGGTATACCTACACGAGATAACAAAATAAAGAATAGAAACAATTTGTCAGTCGTTGTTAATCAATTCGATTTACGATACCGACCCAAATGTAGACTGAAATAAGACTTGTTTGTTTGGGTTTTTTGTAAAACGAGTATGGGAATTTGAATAGTTCTTAATGTTTTATATTAAGTCAATAATTCAGATACAATGTAAACGTTTTTTTAACAATACAATATATTAGACGTTACGATATTGTAATGTTATAGTTTATGATGGCCAAGCCTGTCGTCTAATAGCAATTGCTCATAAACACAGAGCAACATAAGAAATCATTTGTCTTGCCTTCCTCTCTCATGTACAGACACAATCAAACCGAGTCTGTAATTCCCATGTAAGTTTGCTGTGTTTTAATGCTTCCGATGAATCACTTTTTTCAGATATTAAATCATTATTAAAAAATCCCAAACAATGTAATTATCAATTTGAAATAAAATACAAACAACAGTATATTTTTGGCTATCCCCCATACTGGTTAAAAATTGCTGTACTGATTGATTCCAAATTTTTGAACCGGAAAATATATTCGTGCACGCTAACAGTGCATGTCCAAAAATATTTCGCTTTAAAGTTTCTCCTTATTTAAAAGCTTGCATTCAATAAGGCCATCAGGCGTTGTCCGGTTAGCTCAGTACGTAGAGCTTTTGACTTTGAATCGGACGACCCGGGTTTGATTCCTATACGGAGACGGTCGTTGTGATTGGTTTAAACAGATTTATTTTCAGCTCGATTGCGAAACAAAAATCAGCAATCTTTCCCAACACCGGAAATCACACTTCGTTGTGATTGATCATGAAATCCTGTCTACAGTCATTCGCACAAGAAGTTAAAATATGGCAAAAAAAACGTTACATTGATAGGACTTACAATACATCACTTTTTGCGTAATTGTTCATATTGATATATCAACGGATTAATTATTGCAGAACATTCTTAAGTAGCGTATTTTATTATTAGATAAGTATAAAAGGTAAAAAGCTGTAACACATACGCCTATGAATCAAAACTTATCTATCTTGAATTGCAATCTGTTTAAATACATGGAAGAAATGGAAATCATGAATCTCAAGTGTGTAAGCCTTTTTATTGTGTTACACAATTATTGCGTCTTTTGACCGAGTACGTAAAAATAGTTATTGTTTCTCCCACAGCTTTTTAAGCGTTATCATTGCTTTAATCTGTAAAACGACTTGATGACAACAAGCAGTTTCCTTTTCCATTTACAGATTGATGTACATTTTTATGTTTTTAGCAAAAGCTACTTAACCCTAATATTTTACTCTGCTTAAAAGGAAGTTTAATAATAACAAAAAGCTGTGAGAAATGAAGAACATATGGTTTCGATACTAGAATTAAAATGTCAAGTGTGAACGCTCTTTTTGTTACATGTATGATTGTGCACTTAAAATTCGTTTTAAAACAAGTGCTGTTTAAGATATACAAGCACTTGAGGTGTACATTGCACAGCAATCATTTTATCACTAACAAGGAGAAATCAGTATTTATAGCCTTGCATGGGTATAGTCTTAAATTTTCTATGAAAATGTAGAAACGCGTAACAACACTTGACAGTACGGAGAAGTTGCATCTCCAAGACGAATTTAAGATTACCCGAGAGATCATGGTTTCGATCCGTTTCAAGCGTGTGCACCGTTCTCCGGGTGCTAAAGTGATTGGAAAAGTAAGAAACGTTGTGGCCAAATTCACCTATTTCCAGGGTGGAAAACTCGTCAGTTTGTCATAAATGTGATCAATTTTATTTTTTACTATGAAAAAATAATCGATAATTGGAAATTTCTATATTGTTTCTTTTTTCAGTATCAATTATTGGTCAATCGCCATTATAATACCTAATATTTTGAATGCAATTCAACTGGACAGCGAAACATAAGAGCATAATATAATGTCACTTTAAAAATCAGGACAAGGTTGATATCTCGAAAGCATTAAAAATCACAAAATTACATGAAATTTGCAGGTTTGATTGAAACTGCATGTACGTGCACTCTATGTTTAACACCAAAATACTTTGAAATCAGTGATCCCGAAAAGTTCATATTTGCTTTTGGTATGAAACTTGGGCAAACGCATCTAGCAAAACTTCTCTTTTATTTATACAGAAAATTTCAAAGCAATGCATGCACGTAGGTCTAACGCGGGATTTAAGGATCATTTGGGAAACGATACACAGATCGCTATTATATTTAAAATTGGTTTAAGTTGGATCGTGTCGGTCGTTTTTAATATTGATATTGAAGAGTTTTTTAAATGCATAATATAATTAAACCGTACCGTGACAAAACCAACATAGTGTGTTTGCGGCAGTCTGATCAGGATCCATGCCCCTATAACAAGTAGAGAAACTGACAGCGAACAGCATGTATCCTGATCAGACTGCGCAGATGAGCAGGCTGGTCTGGATCTATGCTGGTCGCAGGCCCATTATGCTGGCTTTGTCATGGCGCGGATCATATATAGGTTGTAGATTCGCCTATTTATGATATTCTAAATATTGTTTTTTTTTAATACTTGACAATGACATATCACACTTTTCTCTGTTGTTTAAAAAAACGATTAATATAATTTGTCCATTTCTAACACGCTTTTATAATAAAATATTTAATGATTGCGTATTTCCTGAATGCTGGGGAGAAGGTATTATTGTACCAATTTTTAAAGGTGGGGCTCATGAAGCAAAATCTTTCGCGGAGTTATTCTAAATGATATTTTGTCAAAAATATATTCTAAATTATTGGTTGATAGGCTTATCAATGGCCTTATAAATATGAAAAGAAATATGGATAATCAATATGGTTTTCAAAGGAATAAATCAACTATTGACTGTATTTTGTGTTACATGCTATATTAATAAAGACTTTATCGAGTACGAAAAAATTCATCAAATGTACTCTTGACATCTTTATAAAAATATAAAAGAGAACTATGTTCTAAGTTAGCAAACCATTCTTGTTTAACAACATCTAAAATGCGATTTTTAAACTCTATCAAAATACATTCTTATCTATGTAATTTTTTTGATCAAAAACACATGAAAATCCACAAGCGTTCAAAATTGTTTTCACATTTGTGACCCAGTTTACACATCCACTATTGCTGTCATTTAATGTTATATTATACATTGGTTTTAATAAGTTATTATCAGTGTTAACAATTTTCATCCAGTATTTTATTATTCTTATATATCTATTTACATACAATTGGTCCCTTCCCAATTCGCCATATACATATGCATTACATGTATTCTGTCTCACTTTTAATAATCTTTTGCAAAATTTTTAACGAATTCTTTCAATTTGTTTCGACTAAGAATATGCCAAGACTTCAAATGAATAGTTCAGAATAGAAACAACAAAAGCATCAAATAAATGATAAAATAACTTTGGACTTAGATCATATTCATTACATTTACATAATAACACATGCACAGACTTTAACGTGTTTCTGATTCAATAAAAAGCTACCAGTGAAGTCAAAAACTGTTCCCAGGTAGTTAAAGTCATTTACCACTTCAATTTTTTACCATCATAATACCAAATCTCTTTTGGTAAGAGCCCACCCCTTTTACGAAAGACCATTATTTTTGTTTTGTTGCATTTACTTTAAGTCCCGAGTTATCACTTTTTAATAATAATAATAATCTTTTAAAGTGTCTAAAAGTTTTTGAGTTTTCTCAAGTGATTGACCTATGATGGCCATGTCGTCAGCAAACAACAAAAGTATTAAAACTATAATCTCCAATAAGAGACCAGCGTCGACACTGTTTTGCAAAAACAATTCTAAATTTTCCATAAAAAGAGAAAATAGCAGAGGAGACATTACCTCCCCTTGATGTAAGCCTACAACATAATTAAAATAATCAGAATAATTAGAAAATGTTTTACTTTTTAATACATATCCCTAACAATTCTAAGTATTTTACCTTGTGTAACAGAACTGTACAATTTCAATCATAATCCATTTCTATAAATTGAAGCGAATCAGTCAATCATATCAACAAAAATAACATCTTTTATTTAGGAAATAGATATCAATTCTAGGTGCATTGTTGTAGAATAATGCACGGTTTGAGTTCAAATGCGTAGTAATATGAGCCGCGTCACGACAAAACCAACATAGTGCGTTTGCGACCAGCAAGGATCCAGACCAGCCTGTGCATCCGCGCAGTCTGATC